ATCAGTATGAGTTCAGCGACTCGGATCGTGAAAGCGCACTCGACAACTTGAAGATGTTCCTAGCCGAGGGGGAAATCCCCTGGGATGCTCTGACGTTCATCACGGCTGAGGTGCGTACACATTGTACATGTAGCAGCAGTTGTTTTGATGGTACATTGCTAATCATGTTGGGTTTTCCCCGTACTGAGGTGTTGATGTGATGGAAATGGTGTGTGACCACCAGTATATTCACTTCTCATCAAAGTGATTGTGTACTCATTGTCAGTGGTGTAACTTACCCGCCATTGTCAGTAGTGTAACTTACCCGCCATTGTCAGTGGTGTAACTTACCCGCCATTGTCAGTGGTGTAACTTACCCGCCATTGTTTGTGTACCATTAGATTACTTACGGTGGTCGCGTGACCGATTCCTGGGATACGCGCTGTTTGAGGACGCTGCTAAAGAGCTTCTTCTCCCCGTTGACTCTGAACAAAGGTTACACATACTCTCCGTCAGGTAAGTTCATTGCGTGCAACAATGTCCTTCTTTGAGTTGTACTCCATGTTCAGTTGATGCACACAGCATCAGTAGCTGCAGCAGCAGCAGCAGCAGCTGACCGTGTACTACGCAATCATGAAACATGGCACATTTGCTTTGTGTAGTCACTTTCATGAGCCCTGCTCATGCCTTTCATCTCTGGGCCATTGGTCATTCCTGTATCTCTGCCACATGGATTCCTTTGCAGGTGCCTACTACTCCCCGACTGGTGACAAAATGAAGCCCTACATTGATTACATCGAGTCTCTGCCATTCAACGACGATCCGGAAGTTTTCGGCATGCATGAAAACGCCAACATCACGTTCCAGGTACGTCAGCTGACCAGCATGCACATGTCAACCGTGTGTTCTTGTGGTGTTCTGGCACTTGTCTGCTTTTCATGTGCTGTTCTACCTGCTGCTAGCCATGATGTGGTTGGTGGTGGTGGTGGTGTGGGGGGGTATTGTACGACTCGGCGACTGTTTTGCTTGACTGCAACTGCATTGTTGCTGGCAGTAAATGTGTACACTGTGTCCCTATTTCTGTTCTCATCGTCACTTCATGCCAGGGTAGCGGACTGTTTGAAAACACTTCATGCCAGGGTAGTGGACTGTTTGAAAACACTTCATGCCAGGGTAGCGGACTGTTTGAAAACACTTCATGCCAGGGTAGCGGACTGTTTGAAAACACTTCATGCCAGGGTAGCGGACTGTTTGAAAACACTTCATGCCAGGGTAGTGGACTGTTTGAAAACACTTCATGCCAGGGTAGCGGACTGTTTGAAAACACTTCATGCCAGGGTAGCGGACTGTTTGAAAACACTTCATGCCAGGGTAGCGGACTGTTTGAAAACACTTCATGCCAGGGTAGCGGACTGTTTGAAAACACTTCATGCCAGGGTAGCGGACTGTTTGAAAACACTTCATGCCAGGGTAGCGGACTGTTTGAAAACACTTCATGCCAGGGTAGCGGACTGTTTGAAAACACTTCATGCCAGGGTAGCGGACTGTTTGAAAACACTTCATGCCAGGGTAGCGGACTGTTTGAAAACACTTCATGCCAGGGTAGCGGACTGTTTGAAAACACTTCATGCCAGGGCAGTGGACTGTTTGAAAACACCGCGGAAGGAAGGATTAATTGCTCGTTGCCCCGTTTCCACTTGTCGCTTTGTTTTCTTGATGCACGTACATGTAGATTCAAGAAACGACATCGTTGGTCGGCACTATTCTTGACGTTCAGCCACGACTCGGTGGAGGCGGTGGAGGCAAGACCAGCGATGAAGTGGTGTTTGAACTGGCTGACAGTGTGCTGGGACGTCTTCCAGATTCACTGAACCTTGAAGAGGCTGATGAAAGTGAGTGTCTCTAGTGGTGGTGATGCACATTGCGACATGTACCCCAATGGTATCCTATTTCCATGATAGAATACGTTCTATGGTGGACATGAAGACCTGGTGCTTGGATTCCATGCGCTGTGTTTGTTCACCTGCCTTGTACCAAAGCTGCTACTCACGACACTAGAAGACCGTTTTTTTTCATTGGCATGTGTTGTCTGCTCTTGTCTGCTACTTGTACACTTGCGTGTATCCACTCAGGTATGTTCAAGCCGGACTCGGAAGGTCGTGTCAACAGTCTCACAACTGTGTTACAGCAAGAAGTCGATCGCTTCAATAGGCTACTCAAAGTCATCAAGGTCTGTGCGTAGCTCTTGACCAACTAACGATTGCCTGACAATATCACTTAGCCCGTTTCCTTGCCACTTCCTTCAAAACTTGATCACCTTCCTTGCTGTATTCCTCTTCACCTTGTTTGACTGTTGTTGCTCGATTTGGTTTGGTGTTCCCTTGACCAGAACTCTATGCACACCATCAAGAAAGCAATCAAGGGACTGGTAGTCATGTCGCTGGAATTGGAAGCAGTCTACACCAGCTTCCTAAACAGCCAGGTACTGCTGTCACTGCTTTCTACTCCATGGATGCATGTGTATGTTTCTCGTACGTGGGCAATACGCAGCAATTGGAATCGATTTCTTGGTTCAGCGAAGCCTGGGCAAGCTGCTGGAAGCAACAATGACAATTGTATTTCTCGACCTTGCTGTTTCCCTAGATGCCATTAGCTTTGCGTATGAAAGAGCCATGATGTCCATGGAACTACTGCACATAACTAGTACTACGACAGCAACTGTCTACCGTCCGTCAGCCTTGAAAGCATGTTCGGCAGGATTTGACTACTTCTTTGTGCTCTACCATTCGTTTGTCCTGTTCTCATGCGTAGGTTCCAACGCTGTGGGCAACGGCTGCATATCCATCCATGAAAACACTGGGATCCTGGATCAAGGACTTAGTGCTCAGAGTTCATTTTGTTGATGTAAGTCCTCAAGTCTTCTTTTTTGGCGTTGTGGAATTGACGGGTTTGACCGGTGTGACTTCCCATCATTCATCATGCCAGGCTCTCCCCATTGCCCGCACTGCCATGCGTGGTCCTCTTCACTAGCTTCATTGGCATGTGTTGCTGTACCACAGCAGCAACCTGGATGCCTGTCGCTATTCGGCATGATCAGATAGCAGTGTGGTGTCTGAGGATTGATTCATGCATGAAACTCGGAGTCACCTCTAACGGTTAATTAAATTGGCCCTTCTCTGTATGTGTAGACAGCTCTGCATCCTGGCGTTTCCTGGTACATGGTATCAAGAGTACTCTCTTCAGCTGCCGTAACTCTCTCCAAGTGTATGTACTAGTGTCATGACCCGGACTCGACTCGTCGTGAAAGCGACCACGCAATGAGATTCAGCAGCCAAAAGCTGGGCTCCGAAATATTCTAGAGTTCTGTAAGAACCATGATTGGTCCTGCGAAGGATTTGGCACTTTCGTTAGTTGAGCAATCATGGCTTACAACTCGTGGCCTCGAGTCACAAGTGTTGTCGTACGGCGGCTACACCTTCAGTACAAGTCGTCAGCATTGTACTCACTACACTGTGTAGCTTGAGGGGACCCTGCTTAGTCCTGCAAGGGAGCTGATACCTTTGTTAGTCGAGCAAGCATGGCACCTCTTCTCGCGTCGTACGACATAAAGGGTCCTGCAAGTGCTTCGCGCACTGCGGACTCCGTTATCCCTTTTTTTGGGAGAGGTCGCGGCTTGACCGTGAAGCGCCCTATGGGGTAATGAGAGGGAAGAGCCTACGGGGCAGAAGATGAAGGGTGACCCAATCAAGACACCTTACGAAGGCGGCGCGCTCTAGCTGCAGCAACATCCGACGGCGTACTCCAGGCTCCGTCGCACGATCGACGTACGAATAACCTCGGAGATCACTCATATTTGTAACACTATCATGTAATGTGGGTGAGCGAGCTCCCCGAAGCTATACTAAATATTTCCTACTAATTATTATCACAATTATACTATAACCAAAATCACATAAAAGCCGCCTTCTTCCAACGAATAAAAGTATCTTTGATTGCTCCCCTTCGACTACCTTGTGTGAGCCGGAAAACAGGTGTGAGCTAGCAACTTGGATGGCGACTATATTGGTCGTCTACCTGGGTAGTCACTAGACTGATCTAAGCCAAGTCACAAACCCGCCAAGCGCGGCCATGACACTAGCACATGGATGTGTTGTGTTTCGTTGCTTCTGCTCAGCACTGGATTCACAATGGCCTGCCTAGGTCCTACTGGCTATCTGGATTCTTTTTCCCACAAGGTGAGTATGCCTGCAGATGAAAAGTTGTCCGGAATTATTTGCAGTCATGTGGCGAGACGTATGCTACTAACTGGTTGACAACAGCGTTAGACTGTGTGTGTGACAACAACAACAACAACAACAACAACAACAACAATCTCTTATTGGCCACTGGCTATCGTGAGAATAAAGATTTGAAACAACAACAACAACAACAACAAAATTTACAAGCATGAACTTTTGTGCTATCTTCTACATGTATTCTACATGCCAGAAAGAGGGCGATTCGGTGGGTGAGGTACCAGTTATCACTGGTGCTAGTTATCACTGGTGCTAGTTCTCACTGGTGCTAGTTCTCACTGGTGCTAGTTATCCAAGGAGGGTGAGGTACCAGTTCTCACTGGTGCTAGTTATCCAAGGAGGGTGAGGTACCAGTTCTCACTGGTGCTAGTTATCCAAGGAGGGTGAGGTAGCAGTTCTCACTGGTGCTAGTTATCCAAGGAGGGTGAGGTACCAGTTCTCACTGGTGCTAGTTATCCAAGGAGGGTGAGGTACCAGTTCTCACTGGTGCTAGTTATCCAAGGAGGGTGAGGTACCAGTTCTCACTGGTGCTAGTTATCCAAGGAGGGTGAGGTAGCAGTTCTCACTGGTGCTAGTTATCCAAGGAGGGTGAGGTACCAGTTCTCACTGGTGCTAGTTATCCTAGGAGGGTGAGGTAGCAGTTCTCACTGGTGCTAGTTATCCAAGGAGGGTGAGGTACCAGTTCTCACTGGTGCTAGTTATCCAAGGAGGGTGAGGTACCAGTTCTCACTGGTGCTAGTTATCCAAGGAGGGTGAGGTACCAGTTCTCACTGGTGCTAGTTATCCAAGGAGGGTGAGGTACCAGTTCTCACTGGTGCTAGTTATCCAAGGAGGGTGAGGTACCAGTTCTCACTGGTGCTAGTTATCCAAGGAGGGTGAGGTACCAGTTCTCACTGGTGCTAGTTATCCAAGGAGGGTTAGGTAGCAGTTCTCACTGGTGCTAGTTATCCAAGGAGGGTGAGGTACCAGTTCTCACTGGTGCTAGTTATCCAAGGAGGGTGAGGTACCAGTTCTCACTGGTGCTAGTTATCCAAGGAGGGTGAGGTACCAGTTCTCACTGGTGCTAGTTATCCAAGGAGGGTGAGGTACCAGTTCTCACTGGTGCTAGTTATCCAAGGAGGGTGAGGTACCAGTTCTCACTGGTGCTAGTTATCCAAGGAGGGTGAGGTACCAGTTCTCACTGGTGCTAGTTATCCAAGGAGGGTGAGGCACCAGTTCTCACTGGTGCTAGTTATCCAAGGAGGGTGAGGTACCAGTTCTCACTGGTGCTAGTTATCCAAGGAGGGTGAGGTAGCAGTTCTCACTGGTGCTAGTTATCCAAGGAGGGTGAGGTACCAGTTCTCACTGGTGCTAGTTATCCAAGGAGGGTGAGGTACCAGTTCTCACTGGTGCTAGTTATCCAAGGAGGGTGAGGTAGCAGTTCTCACTGGTGCTAGTTATCCAAGGAGGGTGAGGTAGCAGTTCTCACTGGTGCTAGTTATCCAAGGAGGGTGAGGTAGCAGTTCTCACTGGTGCTAGTTATCCAAGGAGGGTGAGGTACCAGTTCTCACTGGTGCTAGTTATCCAAGGAGGGTGAGGTACCAGTTCTCACTGGTGCTAGTTATCCAAGGAGGGTGAGGTACCAGTTCTCACTGGTGCTAGTTATCCAAGGAGGGTGAGGTACCAGTTCTCACTGGTGCTAGTTATCCAAGGAGGGTGAGGTAGCAGTTCTCACTGGTGCTAGTTATCCAAGGAGGGTGAGGTAGCAGTTCTCACTGGTGCTAGTTATCCAAGGAGGGTGAGGTACCAGTTCTCACTGGTGCTAGTTATCCAAGGAGGGTGAGGTAGCAGTTCTCACTGGTGCTAGTTATCCAAGGAGGGTGAGGTACCAGTTCTCACTGGTGCTAGTTATCCAAGGAGGGTGAGGTACCAGTTCTCACTGGTGCTAGTTATCCAAGGAGGGTGAGGTACCAGTTCTCACTGGTGCTAGTTATCCAAGGAGGGTGAGGTAGCAGTTCTCACTGGTGCTAGTTATCCAAGGAGGGTGAGGTACCAGTTCTCACTGGTGCTAGTTATCCAAGGAGGGTGAGGTAGCAGTTCTCACTGGTGCTAGTTATCCAAGGAGGGTGAGGTACCAGTTCTCACTGGTGCTAGTTATCCAAGGAGGGTGAGGTACCAGTTCTCACTGGTGCTAGTTATCCAAGGAGGGTGAGGTACCAGTTCTCACTGGTGCTAGTTATCCAAGGAGGGTGAGGTAGCAGTTCTCACTGGTGCTAGTTATCCAAGGAGGGTGAGGTACCAGTTCTCACTGGTGCTAGTTATCCAAGGAGGGTGAGGTACCAGTTCTCACTGGTGCTAGTTATCCAAGGAGGGTGAGGTAGCAGTTCTCACTGGTGCTAGTTATCCAAGGAGGGTGAGGTAGCAGTTCTCACTGGTGCTAGTTATCCAAGGAGGGTGAGGTAGCAGTTCTCACTGGTGCTAGTTATCCAAGGAGGGTGAGGTACCAGTTCTCACTGGTGCTAGTTCTCAAAGCTTCTCGCAGCACAGTGAATGTACTGATGAGAGCACCTGCTGACTATCTGCTGACTATCTGCTGACTATCTGCTGACTATCTTGTTGTCCTGCATGCACTGGTGCAAGGTTTCCTCACCGGCACTCTTCAGAACCACGCCCGTAAGTTTAACCTGCCCATCGATGAGCTCTCATTCCGCTGGTCTCCAGTGCCCGTTTATCGCAAGCAGGAGGACTTCTACAATCAAGCGTCGGCTGCCATTGGCGGAAAAACCATACCAATGGACGAAGAGGTAACTAACTAAGATCTATAATGAAAACAGAATAGGCCCATCCTATCCAGGTTTGCAGGATATGTTAGGTTTCCTTGGTATATTAGATTAGCCGATGGATGTCAAGGCTTGCAGTGCACATCCTACCTGCATACGGAGACATATGGTGTGTGGGCTTTGACCTGTTGTTGTATACTCTCACAAGCCTTTAGGGTCTCTCTCTCTTTCTTTTTCTTTCTTCTCTCTCTTTCTCTCTCTCTCTCTCTCTCTCTCTCTCTCTCTCTCTCTCTCTCTCTCTCTCTCTCTCTCTCTCTCTCTCTCTCTCTCTCTCTCTCTCTCTCTCTCTCTCTCTCTCTCTCTCTCTCTCTCTCTCTCTCTCTCTCTCTCTCTCTCTCTCTCTCTCTCTCTCTCTCTGCTGTCCTAGTTGGCCAAGGTGGACGATGGTGTGCTTGTTCACGGTCTCTTCATGGATGCATCGCGTTGGAATGATGACACTGCAGTCCTGGCCGATGCCCTGCCCGGTGAAATGAACCCGGTATGTACATGTGTGCAGCTCTGGTCCCTGCGCCTTCTCTCGACATTTCAGACGATGCCTATGTGCTGATGCGCTGCTGGTACGAGTGTGTTATCTGAGTGGAGGCGTGTGTCAGACGTGTGGGCTTAGTTTATTTCGCGAAGAAAATATGCAAAGCCTAAACATTGGGCGTAATTGCAGAACGGAGATATATTGTGAACATTAAATGCGACTGGACTGAATAACTGGGAATAGTAGCATTTTCTTACTTCGAAGTGCAGCATTGGCCATCCTGAGTTCCTTTGACACACTGTACCAGATATGTTACTGGGCATCCGAGAGTAGCCGTTCTGGAGGCAATGCATGGCATTGCTTTGCTTCTGTCGGTAGAAGACCATTTGGCATGGATATACCTCGAAAAACCATCACAAATTCAAGAATTGCTCTCAATAAAATTAAAAAAAATAGGTGTGTTGTGTTAAACGTTTTGATTGTCTGTATCTTCCGTGTATATGCATGTGTACATGTGTGCGTGTTGTTGCTGTGATGCGTGTTGGCGGGTGTGACCATTCTTTGTTTGTACTGGGACGTTGTTGCGGTTGTTATTTGCTGTCCTTAGCCATTGCCAGTACTCCACATGCTACCTAGTCAGAACTACGTACCGGAGGACACTCTGTACAAGTGCCCACTGTACAAAACTGCAGCTCGTGCCGGTGTATTGTCGACTACGGGTGAGTCGCTAGAAATAAATACTAGTATGAATACTCTGGTCAAGGTCCGTCGCGAAACATAACTCCCTTGGTCAATGCCAACCTTTTTGGCTGAAACATCAGGCCAAACTCACCCCAGTAAACTTTCTTTTCAAACAAATGTGTACAAACTGGAATGTAACAGTATACCGCCAAGATAAGCTTCAACCCCAGAAAGTCCGGTCATGTCTTTTGCTTCGTTTTGTGCTAAGTTTAGAAACCCCGTGAATCTCTCTACAGTGCGTTTCAAAAAAATATAGACGCGTGAGTTCAAAAAACCGTTAGGCCAGCATCTATACCACATAAAATCTGTGATCACTTTGTGCATAAAAATTTGGAAATTGGGTGTTTGCTATCCAATCGCTTAAAAATCGATATGAGATTAATTGCAGGAAGGACCTGAGAAATATTCCGAAAAAAGTTCTCGAAAAGCTCCAGCCAAATTTGAAATATTTCGAAAATGCCATGCGTCTATATTTTTGAAATGGACTGTAGTGCATCTACTTCTCCTTGCGGGTCGCACAAGTGGCTCATAACATTGATTATGAGCATGGTCCGTCACATCAAATTGCTGCACCATCGTAGTACTGTTGGTCAGATTTCCTGTTTGCCTTGCGCTCCCTGAGAGTATTTTTTTGAGCTACTGGACTCTCAAGATGTGCTGGCCAAGTTGTTTTTCTCCTTTCTCTTTGTGTTGCGTGGTCTCTTTGCAGGTCACTCGACAAATTTTGTGGTGGCCGTGTACGTACCGTCGGACAAGCCCCAGGATTATTGGATTGCCAAGGGTACAGCTCTGCTCTGCCAGGTGTCTGATTAGGTCATGGTGTACGTGTGTGTACACCGTGTGTGCAGCACCCGTACGCATGTGCCAGTCTGCTCTGGACTTTGTCGTGCATTGTCACAGTAGCTGTGCGGCGGGAGTCTCGTCTGCAGTCCCTGCGCACGTACATCGACCAGCCCCGATGTCTCTAGTGCAAGCGCGGTGACTGGTCTGGTCTTTCCTCCATTCCGTGTCAGAACCCCTGGCCGGCTACGTGATCACTTTCTGTTTTATTTCGTATTGATTGCATTGTCTTGCTCGACATTGAATACAACAGGTTTGGCCCTTGAAATAATTGTTGTTGGACCGTTTGAGCAATACTCAGAGCATAGTGGTCTGAGAGTCATCATTGTAATCTGTTGCTAATTCTGAATTTCTTCTTTCCATTCTCTGTGTTCATGCGATTGAATTGTTTTGCACATACCATACTTCTTTGGCCATATGTGTGGCCGTTTACCGTGAATGTGCTCCGTGCCCCCCCCCCCCCCCCCCCCCCCATATTCACTTGTTTTGCTAGTTCATTCTTCTATTCGCAAGGGAAACCTGGGCTGTCTTGCTCGGTGTCTTTACTGTCCAAAGATGAATGCACATTTTGTTTCCTCATACCGACTGCAATGTATACCGTGTTCACTACAAGCACTTGTAATTTTTTTCTCTACCTAAACCTGAGCTTTCGTTGAAGATTGTGCTTTTGTCTCATCACATTGCCCCGTTTTGGGTGTTATTTTGTATGTGTTCACTGTTTAGTACGAACGCTGTGCAGTACACGTAAGGAGTTTTCTTGGGGGAAAGGATGGGTGGGTGTGCCTTATAGACACAGTGGCGTATTTTTTTGCAATCGAAAATGTGTGGTAAATTTCTACTGAATTCTCACTCACCATCACCGTGAAAGGTAATAGCAACATGCCACCATGAACCACACACATGCCACCACACACATGCCACCACACACACGAACGAACACACAAGTATTTGTAATTGTATATCACGTATTCGGTTCAAGGATCCAAGTTGAAGTGTGACCAGCAAACAACACAAGGAGCAGCATGACACACAGCACATGCTGCTGCTGCCGCAAGAAAGGAGTAATGAGCTAAGAAGAACAGCGTAGAAGAGAGCATTGTACAAACACAACGCCAACGCACCACCAGTGCACACCTGAGCCAGCACACTTCCACCCCGTAGTAGAAGCAGCAAGAGGAGGCGGAGGAGGCAAAATAAAAGCACACACAGAGGTAGCTGAGGGTGGAGTGAGTAGTAGCAGTGTGGTGACCTCCGTAAAAATGGCCAGGAAGGAGCCAAAGCTGCTCAGGAGAAAAAGTAGAAAAGATAAGTTGAACTAATGAAAACACACACACACGGCCACACATATCAATGAGCCTGACACTAGGACATATACACACACTAAACCTAGACAACAACTAAGACACCTAAAAATAATGAAAAATAAAGGCACGGACAGTGTCAGCAGCAACAGCAGCCAAATGGGATTCGGATCCTCAACGACATGGATAGCAGGACAAAGAGCGGTGAATAATAGCAAATCAATATGTACAATAGAATAGAATAGGTTAGACAAGAATAACAAACACCAGGATAACACATACTCAGGAAAGACTCGCAGCCATCAAGACAATCTACGATTTTGTAGTCGGTGGAAGTTCTACATTCTATGCACGCACTCGCTCACGCACACTAATCCACAGGAACAAAAGGGGTGAACAAGATACGGTTCACTATGAGTCTTCATCTTCCTCTTCCTCCTCCATTTGACCACTTTCCTCATCTTCCTTTTCTAGCATATCTTCCGGCGGCAGCGCATGGCTATCCGGGTCTTTTGCTGACCTGGAGCGTAACTGGTGCATGAGAGCACGGTCAAATGCCTTGCTGACTGAGCGCCGCGTCCCGGGCTTGCGACACTCCATTAGCTTCTCAGCATCCAGTGACTGACGGAAGCCCAATGGAGCCAGCTTGGATCTTGGGAGCCATTGCCTGTATGCACACACACACACACACACACACACACACACGTACACACACGTACACACACACACACATACCCATAGACCTACGTAAGACACATCGGGATGTGCAGAGATGATTTTGTATTCTCCAATAACCGAGAGAAATGTAATGTAATGAAACTCGGATGTTGAGCCAGTAATAAATGTTGAAAGGAAAGAGACACTGTGGATACAATTTAATGGTAACCGTCCATCACTGTAACAGTACCGAGACATTCAGCGACTCGATATCAAGCTCAAACACATCTCCGGAGCACTAACCAACAGCCTCCCAATTTGAAAGGATCTCGTCATCGTCCAGTGACAATCGACATTCTTTGTTTCCGTGGGACTTCGCTTGTACTCATTTTCTTTGATCATTCCTTAATTGGTTAGCGCTCCGGAGATGTGTTGGAGCTCGGTGTCAGGTCCTCGAATGTCTCAGTACTGTCAGTTGTGTGCCTAGTTGTTGCACTTTCTGTCTGCATATACATGTAGTATCTAGTTACAGTGGTGGACAGTTACTCTTAACTCGTATCCATATATTCCTTTCCTTTCTACAGTTTATATTTCGTTTCGCAAAAAAATTCGATAATTACGGATGGCCCCATATAGTGTGTTATTTTATGACACAGTTTGTGAGACCTCGTGAGATGGCAGACACAAGTCTGAACAAGCTCATTGTGGACATAATAGAGAGGTTCCGGGGTACGATTTCAGTGTTGCCACATCATCATAGCCAAATATCATTAGGATGAAAAAAATAAAAATGCATCATCCGGGGGCTTTGCCCCCGGACCCCCCCCCCCCCCCCCTCCTTCAGAGTAACCCCAATACACAGATACACAGACACACACGCGTGCGCGGAACTGTTAAGAAAACCTTTCACGGCTTTGCATGAGACTCAGGCTGAGTTTGCCGATTTTCCCCAGGCAGCTGATGATTCGCTTAGCACCTTAGGAGAGAGCTATGGAAACACTCGTGATGAGCAGTAATAGCCAAAAATCTGGACCATGACTTCTAAACCAAGCACAAGGGCAAACTTGGATACTTTCATGGCTGTTGTCGGCAGGAGAAGGTCAATTGTCAGCAGGTCATTACAGGCCTCAAAAATCGGCAGGCTACTGACATGTCGGCAGGTGTGGCAACACAGCGATTTTCCGTGCCAAAAAAAGTCTTAGAGAGGACACACCACTGCTTTCAGAGGATCATGTTGGACTCGGGAGCCAGTCTGTCACACATTTCGATGTCCCCGCACGGAGAACATGCATTCTCCCATGGCCCCTTACATGGCTCCCTGGGCTCTAGCCTCTGCAAAATGCTGCAACTCACCAAGTGCGGCGCGAGTCAAAGAACAAGACAAGGTTGTCATTGTCAGTGCGCTGGACACGCAAGACGCCCACTGGTGGTAGTGGTACGTAATATCCGCAACCAAAATCACCTTCCTCTTCAGTCATGGCAGGATCCACAATCTGAACAAGCCAACAAAGTAGAGCAAGACACATCGTCGAAGCTCAAAGAAACTACAACTGAGGACTACTTCACGAGGAGGCTGAGGTGCATCGCTCATCAGATATCTCCTCTGAACCATTTCATGGCATCACATTTGAAAATCGAGCACTGGTGATCGATTACTAACTAGCGTAACTCAGTCAATTTTGGCCACAAACTCGAACATCTAAATATCTATTTTGGAGAGAAAACTCCAGGCTATCTGTAGGAACAATCGCTGAAGCAATACAGTGAACAGCTGCAATGCGAGTTTTCTAGATAGCCCAAGATCAGGAAAATCTGCCAAGGGAAACTGGAGTTATGGATGAATGAAAGTATGAAATAGTTGAATTCTGTGAAAGCCTATTTTGAATGCATTCTGAGAGTGTGAAAGGGATAATTACCGTATGTCCGCACCTTTAAAGCCATGGCGCTATATTCGATTATAAAGCCATGGCGCTATATTCGATTATAAAGCCATGGCTTCAAACTTCCAGCCCAGCAGAAAGGGTGAACCAGTGGATGAAAATTGACATTTCAGTGTGTACTTTGACTTTTACAGCATGGCGTAGTGGGTGAGTCATTTTGCATCTAAAATATCTAGGAAAGCAGCGGTGTTTCGAATATAAGGCCATGGCTTTAAAGGCGCTGACATCAGTAACCCGTTTACCACTGCAGGGTAAAAGGGTTAAACCAGGGTAAAAGGCTCGTGCAGGTGTAAAATATAAATTATAAACCTGCACGACATCGCTTTCCATTCCTGTGATGTCATGAAATCCAATCGGAGAGCCACACCCGCCCACCCACACCCACATAACAACACAGTGACACACATATCCACAAGGCACACAGCAGAGTAAACAACAGTAGAGGACGGGGTGACCGACCCCCCCCCCCCCCTGTTACCATGGTTACTTACCACAGCGGGATAGGAAGGATAGCCACGGCACTTAGCCCATACCAAGTCCATGGGCTTTAGTTCAATAGGAAGTGCGGATTCCTCTGGCTTGCCATCTTCCGCATCACTGCAGTTTCTAAGGTGGCCATTAGAAAACTTGAATACTTCTTCACTAAACGTGGAGTCAGACGATGACAGGGATGTCACACTCGGATGCCTTGCCGGGTTACGCGGCCGACCAGGCTTACGTTTCTTTCGGCCAACGGGTGATGATAAGCTGTTATGGCTGGGTGGTGTTCCTGATGAACTGGGTTTGGGGCTGCCAGGATGATTCTCATGTGGCTGTTGAGTCGAAGAGGAGGCGGAAGAAGACGAGGACGGTGAAGATGCGGAGGACTTCGCCGCAAATGATCTCGGTGTGGCCACGCCTGCGGCGACTTCATGACCATTTACCACACCATCTGCAGAGGTGTCCATCTCCTCTGGTGCCGCCAGATCTGAAGATGAACTTGTAGGACTTCGCTTTATTCTAGGCAGAGATACGACTGGATTGCTGGCACGGCTAGCAACAGCTGGATCAGGGTGCGAGCCAACCAAAGCTGCACCTGATGATGTATCCATTGCTTCTTCTCCAGCTGCAACTGGCACCTGGCCGTTGAAACCACCAGAAAGCGAGACGGGAGTAGCACCGGTGGGAGATATGGACGAAGGTGATGCAGGTAAGTCCAATACAACCTCTCGACTAGATGTACGTGTTACTGTAGCGCAACGCAGCGTGAAGTCATCCGTCTCTCGCATGCGATTGCTCGGCTTGCGCTGGCGCTGCGGTCTCGCACCGGAATCACCTGCCACAAGGCCATTGCGACCGGCTCCATCAGGAGACTTGATCCGCAGCGGTGTTTCCGAGTCTTCCATTGTGAGGTCAGCGGGCCGATCTCCTTCCACATCATCGGTGTCCGGACAGCTTTCTGCCGTGGTACTGTTGGCAGCGTCATTGGACAGATCACTGGCACGGTGGCGTTTTCGCCGTGGGCCTCCACCAGTGCTGCGTCTTTTCTGTGGCTTGAGCTTTGATGACGGGGTTACGCCGTCGGGAAAGTCCATGGGTTCACCTGAGCATAGAAGCGAACACACAATATAAATATCAGATTCGATGTATACAAAGTAAACCAGGAAGCCAATGCTGTGCACTCCATTCAACTTCCTGTCATACGAGAACAAGCATCTAATGTTACAGCCTATTCGGATATGAGTGCAGTGTGACCCTGCTTTCCTGAGCTCATGGTCCATGTGACATGCCATCAGTTTGCAGTGATGCCAAACGCCCGTATTTGTCCGTATTTTTATGGAAAAACGAAGTTTTGTCCGCAGTACGGATTTCAATCGAAATATCCCGCAAACGATCATGAATGATCGATTACTAAAACCTTCGTAACTCCATCGTTTCTTGTGCAAATTCAACAATCGAAGGGTCTACGTGGTAGCGAAAACTCCAAGCTGTCCAATGCAACTATCACCGAAGAGTTACGATGTCGGAATTCATATCACGCGCCGTACTCAGGTAGTCGTACCTCGGCAAATTCAAATTTTTGATAGATTTCTTCGCCATTTTGGGGGTTAATCCCTTTTCGCGTGATCTTTGAGCGACCGAGCACATCAGAATGACGTAGCCGGCTGAAGTTTGAATCGCCTCGAAAAAAATTGAGCGTCCTGCGATAAAGGAGAGTGGTGTTGATGGGACAAATTTGCTTGCATACTGTATTATCTCCCTTATAAACACTGTACTTATATTTTTTCAACCCACCTCGCACCCGTGCTTATAGAGGAGACCGTGATAATACTGGAGACCGTGTTTATATTTTTTCAACCATGAAAAAGTCAAGAAAGTTGCATACCGGTAACACACTCAAATTGGAATTGAACTCGGTTTTCATGATTAGAGAACAGAGAGAAGAAAAAAGAATGATGAGGAAGTGGAAGTCACGCACGTGGAGCACTTTTATGTTTTATATGACTGTATGACTGGCGCACAGCTGCATTCCAGTATTATCACTGTGACTATGTTGGAGACTGTGCGTTTGTAATCTCAACAGCCCTCCGACCTGTGCTTATAATGGAGACTGTGCTTATAATGGAGACCTGTGTTTATAAGAGAGATGATACGGTATTAGGCTTGGACTTTGCTGTGTTACCGCGCCTGATTTGTGGTGGCTTCATCATGCAGCTTAGAATCCTGGCGTTGCTCCTGCCAAGACCTTTCCAACGAGCCCTAGATTGTGAAAATCAAGAGAAGTAGACTAAATTGATGTCCTGGTGAAGTTGAAAATTGTACTGAATTCGTAGGCTTTACAAGTAAACTCCGTGGCTGGAAAATTTGTACAGTATTGATTTGTTTTCCAACTTACACATACAAATTACAGTCAAAATGTGGACCTGAAAAAACGAACACGGAAAACTCTGAAAAATTCTGCAAAATGGCACTGGGCAGTACGCATGGGGGTAGAGGGCACTTAGCAACACTGAGTTTGCAAAAACCAAAGGAGTGGAAAGTGGAACGTCTCTCAAAAAGCTCATCATTTCCACGGCAGCCTGCTCTGATCAAACAGACTGCCAAGAACAATCATTGCACACATACATATAAATCCTTGGGCTAACTTCACAATCAATTTCCACACAAAACAACAAAATAACCCCCTCTTCAAGCCCACCCATTTGTATACCCTTCACACACAAACACACGCGTACACATACACACATGTGTACACCCCCACACACAAACACACACACACACGTGCCTACCATCTGCAATCATGACGCCGACCTGAATCTTCTTATCTACAATCTAAAATTAGTAAACAAAACAAGTCACATGCACACCGACACCCACACACCCACACACACACCCACACACACAAACATGATACATGAGTGGTCATGTAGGCAGCAGCCTTGGACCTTCGGCATGTACTGTACAGTGTATATAGGAAGCACAGCATATAGGTAGGAATGACCAAGGTCAGAAGCAACAACAGAACCACCACACTCTAGGCTGTCTTTCTGTATAGCAGCATCCATGGGCATTCAACTGGAACAACAACTGGCCATACCTCTTGCGCCATTTTCTTCTTAACGACCGTGATCTGCTTGCGAAGAGCACGTAGCCTAGCCGTCTTGCCTGCATGAGCACGAGAAAGAAGACAGGTGGATCGTGAGCGGACGACCAGCAATCACACACAGCACAAGCAAAAGCCCCGCAAGTTATAAACAACAGCCGTCAGGGTCCTTTGCTTCACTTACCGAGACTGGATGATTCCTTTACTTCATCATGCTCTGCCTTAAGTTCCACCAGCTGCTCGGCTAGAGTAAGATCTGAAAGAGAGGGGCATGTAGAGGTCCAGTAAGACCTGGTCAGACAACTGCGCCTGCAACTACATACAAGTGCACATAGTGTTACAAGCACACGTAGTGTATGCTAAAATATAAAATAAAGTAACTTATCGTGTCCGTTCCCAAAGGGAACTCACGACGGACACTAACACCCGGCAAACCCTACAAGTACGCGTGGTGTATGTAGTTCATCTGAAAAGAAACACAGGATACGGCTCTAATTCAGCTCCAACAGTACAGGCAGAGTCCCCCTGCCGGGCTAGAAGTTTGTTAGTATTACTAAAGAAAAATGAACCACGAGCTACAAGTATTACTAATTCCTTCATTTTTTTACAACAACAAAAACATTTCTCATTTATGAAGCCCATGGCTTTATAACTGAGACTGGCTTTATAATCGGAATATCCCTCCATGGCTTTAAAGGTGCGTCCATGCGGTACGCACATTGACTAGAACATCCGGGTAAATGGAGATTTTCCTGGCAAATCTGTAGAATGCTTGAGGCCATGATTGAAGCATTCATCTTTCATTACTGCTAGTGTGGAGCACTACACGCCAACGCAATATCTTCAACATTCGCAACACAGTGTCAATAGAAACAAGTCAAATAACACACTGACCTTGGTCGAGTTGCTGCTGGAGTTTCTCCGGATCAAGATCCTGTTCGACATGCATGCCTGTTTCTGGGTCAATACCAGCCTGCTCCGCTTGTTTGCGAGCAAAGCGAAGCAGCGCAGAGCCGCAGTCGCGTATCTTCACCGCAGCCCGGAAATAGACAGTGTCCTTGGCATTGTAGGTCATGCAGTTGCGGTGAATCAGATGGAAGTCTTCGATGAACGCAGACACCGACATGTACACATGGTTGTCTAGCTTGCGACGCATTGTGCTAAAGTCCATCGGCTGATCAATGATTTCAAGGTAGTCGGGGACCTGAGCACACACACACACACACACACACACACACACACACACACACACACACACAGAGGAACGGAAATTTAGTTAGAGGTCGCCTGGAATCCATTATGATTACAGTAGTTTGATAGCTCTTCATCCAACAAGGAAGCAGAAACCCTCAACACACTGCCTATAAGCCTTTTCATCCATCGGACATCAGGAGCCATGGCTGCAAACATCTCAAATTCTGTCACGGTCTGGCGCAAACAGCAAATGCAAAGGTGCTAACATTACATGGTATAGGGGCACACAACACGGGGGATGAGAACTAGGATGCAGTGTAGACTGAAATCCTAGTACTAGTGCTTGTAGAGAGGTGCTCTACACAACACACACACCTCACCCGCGACAGGAAAACCCATGTAACAATATTCTCTCACCCCCCCCACACACACACACACACGCACGAAGTGTTGAACAGATGCTGCAGCAGTAAATGTAGCACAAGCGAGTCACAATCTAGAATCCAAAGGGTACTTTACCTCGTCAACAGATACAGGCTCAGCAAAGATCTTGAGAACATCCTTCTGCTGCAATTGGTCTAATGTGCGGCGCAGCAGGACTGTAAGTGGCTGTAGCTGAAGATCCGTCATATGCTGGTGCATTCGCAACTACACAAATCAAAACAAATATTAATGAGAGCACATTTAGAAGCCTACAGATTACACAAAAGAAAGCTTTCCCAATTAAAAATTCAAGTCACACATTCAGACAATAGAGAAAAATCTGATAACAAAAGCCAATAATACAATACTCCATAAGGCTCTGCACTAGGCATATTGATCTTCATTCTGCTGTTTACCATCGTCTTCACGGAGTTCGGAATAAGAACAGCAGTGCCATTTCAACAACCGTCAGTGGGTGTGTTCGATTACTGCCATGAATCGATTCATGAATGGAATCTCGTCGCTCGACTTCATGTCACGAGCCCTGGAATCGGTTCGGAATCCTTCACCCTATTCACATGGGGTGATGTGAATAGCCAGGGGCGATTCATGAACGGATTCAACATCGATTCATGGGCAAAATCGAACACACTCACTGAGACATGGCTCTCTGGTATTGTGCCAGATAGCACCAGGGTATTAATTTCAACTAATTTCAGACGATTCCCTTTTCTATTCCCCAAAATAATGAATTTCAAATGGTTTCAAAAAGTATTACTGCCTCACACCCACACCACACCAACACGCACAAATCAACCATTCAGTCCTAAAAGCAATAACAATAAATCAGGACTCACATCTTCTCGCTTTAACTTCTCTCTCTTCCGGATTAATTCGATCAAGAGACGAGACCGTTCCAGGTCATGACGCAACCGATGCCAATGTACAAGCTGTTCCTTGAGAGCAGCAACAGTTTCCGTCTATCACAGTGGACAAGAATGTGGCAAGCCAAGTTGAGCTTCCAGAAACCAAGACCTAACCTGATTAAGCATATGGCTGTAAGCTGACAGAATACTTAAAAGCACTATCTACAGTGCAATGGTTTCAACCTGTACTAAACTGCATAGACAAGAGTCGCTAAAATGTCCGTCGCTAGCTACATGCACGCACACATGTATACACGTACACATACCTCCAAACCACTCTTCTGGCTCTGATGAGACGCTTGCAGTCGACGAAGCAGCGGCACGCCACTCCTAGACTGTCGCTTCAGTGCCCAAAAGCTTCTCAGCTCTTGCAGAAAGGCCATCTTCTTGTTGATGCTAACAAGACCGGCAATATCTGCAAGTCTGAACATTCAAACACAATAGCAAACGGACACGATCAAAACCCACCGACAGGAAATTAAACACAAGCCTGAGAACAAACAGCTCTACTATTCACATACCAGCATTACGTCCCACACCGGACGTGAAAGTTAATTATTAATCGAATTTCACAAGTACACACACTGTGCACATCGGCCGGCACAGCTGTAATGTACAGTACATCTAGCCATGTACTGCAGCCATGTACTGCAACCATGTACTGCAGCCATGTACTGCAGCCATGTACTGCAGCCATGTACTGCAGCCATGTACTGCAGCCATGTACTGCAGCCATGTACTGCAGCCATGTACTGCAGGTGCTTACAATGCAATCACAATGCGGCAAATGGACATGCAACGTGCATACCAGTACGTAGGAAATTTACACTCCAGTTATGTCCAGGCATAGAGACTGGCACCGTAGCCAAGAGCTAATATTTACATTTAGTTTTTCATTTTATTCTGGGCATCGAATGATGCTAGAGCTTGGCCTAAATATCCAATGTGCGCATGTACGTGAGGAATAGTGAAAGGCGGTTACATGTACTGTACAATATGAGGTCATTCGAACTGAAATAGAGCTCGGTTCAGAGCTTTTCGGGCAAGATTATGTAGTCTGTCAGTCAAGAATATCACGTCCATATTTGTAAGGGGCCGTCCAGGGTTACCAATAGCATTTCTAAACGAAAAGTTTTCGTTTGGGGGTGGGTGGGTTTTAGGAGTTTCGTTTTGAAAATAATTATTGCATGCAGATGGAAAATGCCCGGTTACTTCTGGGTGCCGAGAATTGACATCAATATTCTGTCGGAATTCGTATTACCTGCAGAAAAGGTAGGTGGGTGGGTGGGACTGAAAAAATACTAAAATCTTTCGTTTTGTAAAAACAATCGGTAACCCCGGACGGCCCCTAGCCCTAAGCATGTGTGTAGACAAAGTGCGAGATACACACGCCTTGACAACACATTCAGTGAGTATCTACTGCACTTACTTGCTGTCAGCAACGAACGGGATGTTAACAATGGGCGCCGCCGATAGAGCACTGAGCCGCCGTTCGGCCTGCAGCTTCTTTTTTAGTAGGTCGGACGGAGGCGCACGCGGTGCTGTCTTGCTGACGATGGCCTTGCCAACAGTCAGGTGACAGGATAGATCCTCACTGGGCTCTTCTCCCGACTGAGGTGAGTGAACGTCACAGTAGACCACTTTTCGAATGCTCGGTACCGTCTTGTCGCCGTCCGTCTTCTTCAGCACCTCCATTTTCATGTAGAGGCCGGCGTGCTGCGCACACGTGGGATGAAACGCGGTGTAACAGGTACGATTCACGCACTGTATGCACGCACCACCACGCCGATGACAAATGTAGCACGTCAGCCGCCACCGCGCGCCCGGGATCTCGTCGATCGAGTCGATTGGCTCCAGGAAGACGGCGTTAGCAAACTGTACCTCCGGGATCCAGAGTGCACAAACGACGTGCGCCCACTTGCCCTTGTCGGTCTGCTTGAACGCACCGCCTTTGTTCGGACAAAGAGCACAGTCCACAGCACAGCTTGGTGAGTTGAGGCAACGACGGCACAACCACTGGCCTTCCGGAATGAACGGCACACCATAGCACTCTTGATGCACTGCCAGATTACACATGTCACAGAACAAGATGGCATTGCTGTTTTGTACTTCGCCATCATTGCAGATACAGCAGACCGCATCCTCGTCCAGTGCTGGATCTACACCATTGCTCCCGTCACGTCTACTCTCAAAGAACGACTCTTTCTCTAGCCGATCCATCAGCAGCTCGAATGTCTCGCGCGACACCGGGGCCACACCGTCCTTTTTCCGTCTAGCATTGATGCCATCTAACCACTCACTGTCATCTTCATCCATATCATACTCAACTACTTCATCGAGCTCCTCATTCGACTTCTCAATGAAACGGAAATATGCTGACTTGTCCGCGAGCGTCGAGCTCGTACAGGGCGGCTCAATTATGCGTACAACAGCAACAGGCAAGGCAGATGTGCACGCTCCGCTGGATGCTGCTCGCCGCTGTTTCTTTTTCACATCAGGAGTAGATCTGACAGTCTCCATCCCGACATTTTTCGTACCAGTGCAGGAGCGTTTGGGCATCTTACGGCAAGTCTCGGGTGAATCAGAAACTTTACCACCAGCATAGTTTAGACCTTCTGCAGTGGCCTCGGGCTGTCTGTCCGTGATGTTTTCCCGTTCTCCAAGGTCAACAGCTGTGGATTTACAAATTGAATGGTCATTCAGACTGATCTCAGTTGAAGGAGGGCAAGTCAAATCCATCTCTTCATCTTGAGTATTGGCTCCATCCGTTGTTTCCATTCGCGCTTCAGGCTCATTAGCAACAACAACACCAAGGCCATTTCTCATTGAAACACGGGAAAGAGATCCATCCACGTCGACTTGGACGAGCCGTTGAGCTTCGCTGTAAGTTAGAGTTTCCTTCTTGGCAGGAGCTGGCGAGGATGCACAAGACGACTTGAGGCCACCCGACTTACGACTTTTGGGCCGCGATGAGGCTAAAGCCTTCTTCGGGGTGTTGTTCATTGGTCTTGAAATAACGTTTTTAGAGCGCTCCTTGCCGTTTTCATCGTGACCTACTTCCTTCAGGTGATACTCCATTCCACTGAAACTTCGATACATTTTTTGACAAACGAAGCAGCTATACGGCGGCTCCTGCTTCCGAAGGCTGCTCATGAAGGCCTGAATCGTCGCGAGATCTTGTGCTACAGCCATTGTCTTGTCTAGGCTTTGTCTCTCCCTATCTCTTGCTCACTCTCTCGCTCCTCCACTTCACTTCGGCATCCCTGGAAAATATATTTGAAGCTGACTGTTCCAAGCGTCAGGCAACGGCTCTCGCAAACTCAGAAAGACGCGAACTATAAACTACACAGCTAGAGAGAAGACAGAAGTGCACGTCTTTGCTACTTGCAGAATCGTCACTGGCCCAGTAATGGCTGCCGTGCCTACAACACTGCCAACGGCCGCACTGAAACTACGCAACTGATTGCACTGACTGTGATGACCGTGAGTGGGTGATCGTCGTGGGGCCGCAACCACCAACGGCGACGTGGTCGAGTAGCTCACAGAATAGAACGACACTCACTGCTTTCGCAGATTTACACAGCCTTTTTGCTTTGTGCTCTGACAACATGTAAGTCGGAACCATCAAAGCAGAGACGATGCAACGGCCTTTTCCACCGCTGAAAATAAGCAGTAGATTGGTGCAGGTAGTGATTTTGTCTTGGACGATACGTGTTTCATGCGGGAGTTGACTCTTGTGACCTGTGTGCATCATCCTCGCACTTTCTCACACACGAGACAACTAACTAACTTCATGTGGCCTGCAGAAGGCCGACTATACTGTGGGTTCAAACAAAGGCATTCAAGTAGGAACCGAAGGTCAAGAAGAAAGGGGATTACTTACTTGCACCGCCAAGCCTTTGGCTTTGAATCAAAAGCGGCAAGTGTGGTTTTCCAGATGCAGATCAAGAAGCAGTGCACAGCCAGATATGCGGAGCTAGCCCGCGCGCGTGTGAATCCGTTACACAACTGCACCGTAGACTCGTACTCGTAGTACACGCTCCACCACCGCTCGCGTGCACCACATCGCGAATACCGCGTACCGGTGTACCATGCACGTCGAGTCTAGCGTCTACGTCACGTCGACGTCTGGGCTTGGGATGTGCGTGTAGAGTCTACGCCGTGCGCTTTGGCCTGTACCGCGTAGTCGTAAGCTGTAGCATGCATGTAGTCACATGTGCACAACGTCACAAGACTACAAATAATTCAAAGGACTCAAAAACACAGAATTCTTGACATCTTTTTTCCCGCGCATTCTGGACTACAATAATAATTACATTGTATAGCATAGCATACTCTTGATACTGATTGCAATTTCAAATTTGGACTTCACGGAGAATTACTCTTGATACTCCCAAGAGTACATAACCATGAAAACCCCCAGCTGGTTATGTACTCTTGATACTCCCTATATATGATGTCATTTGATCATTTGATTTATGTTTTGGCAGAGCATTCTATTTCCGGCATATGCGAATACCGGTATGTGGGTTGCCAAACTTGCCATTGTGCGGCTGACAATTGCCGCGGAAATGCATAATAACAAGAGTACACATTATTTGCACTCTGTGCATGATATAATTATAGATATAGGGTTGTACGCAGCCCAGCTTTGGGTACAACTCTCTTGTGGTCACTTTGCACTGTTTGCCAGCATAACCTTTTGAACCATGTCACGTGATGTGAATTTTTGGCGCTGCGGCTCTCGCAGCACAGCATACAGGTTGTGCAGGCAGTTGCACACTCTTGGGGGTTATGTACTCTTGATAATAATAATAATAATAATAATAATAATAATAACTAACTCCCTGATATTGTGATACCAAGAGTCGAGTCAACAAGTGTTTATGCACTCTTGGAGTCTTGCTGATACCAAGATTACTAGAGTGCATAAACTGATACATATAACATGTACATCCACGATACAACATGGTACAATATGGCAACGGATTATTTTAAGAAGGAGGCACATTTATGCAGTCTCTTTTCCGAGAGGATTTAAGAACGCACCCTTAGATAATTATGGAGTTGGCTTGCCGAGCCAACTCCATGATCATGAGTGGAGCATTGTCTCGGAAAAAATAAAACCACCGTCTCCAATAACAGCACAGTCTGTAACACATGTAATAGCACACAGATAGCTTTCACCGAAATAATTACATAAGCCTAGGAACCCCGGCGGCTCTTCACTTGAAAAGTGCCGGTATCAGGGCAGGGGCGTCGGACACGGGTACGGTACGGTCACTACGGTATTGACCGTACCACTCCTTTCCCAGGTACCCGTGAATTGATAAAAAGCACTGATTTGGACTCTAAATTTCCAAAAAAATTGGCTCAGCCACCCCTCCCCCATGAGTAAATTGCACTTTAGGTGGATGACCGTACCGCACTAAATTACTTTCCGACGCCCCTGTAGAGAGAGAGAGAGAGAGAGAGAGAGAGAGAGAGAGAGAGAGAGAGTACAATTTTTAATTAAATGTCCTTAGGTACTCTTGCCAGGCTATAAAATTGGACTATTTTCAAACTCCTTGGAGGTCATACTGAAGTTTCGCTGCATGTACACAAATATGAAGAGACTACTCGTATGTCGTCTTGGCTATAATAATGGTGTCATACTCCCTGATATCCGAGTGATAATATTATTATCACTCGGATATCAGGGAGTACATGGATTAGATATTCCAACTCCCTGGACCAGTGGTACCCTCAGTCTGTAGTCTGATGCGGAGTCGTACCACTCCTTACAGACAATGGCATGTGTTTTTTTGTAGTACTGATGAAACCTGGTTTCGGCGACCACACCACATGGCATGGTTGAGAGGCCAAGGCAACCCTTGACCGTTACACACCAGTTCAATGCCAAAAAAGGGTTGCTCCCACCCTGCAGCTCGCACTGATGAGGGGTGAATTCCCGGGAAAAAAAGGAGCAGGGATTGGTGCTTTCTTGTAGGTTTGCCGAGTGGAAGGTTCAACGGATTTCTCGTGTGCTCTGGATGGCAGTCGTGAGTCAGTCAAGCCGGCGGGAAAAACGCGAGTTCCAGGGTGGGAGCAGCCAACTTACTACTTATCAATAAAATCAGCGAAACGGTTGCAGCGGTATTTGCACTGAGGTGGGAATTTCCCATCTGTGACTCTTTGCACGTGCGTCTGAAGCGCTCCAGCAGACATGTACATCAGACCTGCTTTGAGCTAGTACTCCACACACAAAACAGTCAACAGGTTCGAAGCAGTGTCTTTAGTTTTACATGGTTTCCATGTTGCCGAACCTTAAATGACTGATTGTATTGTCTCAACATCCCAGGTATGGTGCCTGGGCATATCTTGAACAAAGGCAAGATGAGTACTCTCGCAAACGTTGCTACTCACAACTAAATGGAAAGTGCAGATCACCTGTGAGATATGGTTAGCCGATAAGCTGATCATTACGGTAACAGCTAAGCCACTAACAATAAATCGTAATCGCTTCAGCACTACATGTAATGGTCACAGTGATCCACACTATTCACAACTGGGTTTCATTAGTTTTCCGACATCATACAACTTGCTCCCAAAGGTTCCAGCAGAAATTTATAAAAAGAAAATAGCATCAGTCCGGAGCTCCCATGTGCAGAGCAGCTCATAGAGCACCCTTCTCTTTCAACTTCTGAATAAGGTCTGGCACACTCTCGACTTTGCTACCAGCCTGGCGCACAGGCGGTTCACTGACGCGAACTGTGCTGACTTTTGATGCTACATCAACACCCAGATCACCAGCAGACATCTTGTCCAGGGGCTTCTTCTTAGCTTTCATAATATTGGGTAACGTGGCATAGCGGGGAGTGTTAAGGCGCAAGTCAGCAGAGACAACTGACGGCAAGCGTACCTGAACGGTCTCCAGTCCACCATCGACTTCTCGGACAACATTCAGCTGCTCACCATCAACATCAATCTTAGATGCAAACGTTCCTTGTGACCATCCCAGTAGGCCTGCTAGCATCTGACCAGTCTGATTGCAGTCATCGTCAATTGCCTGCTTCCCTACAATAACTAGGTTCGCCTCCTCTTTTTCGACCAGCTTCTTCATGATCTTAGCCACTGCCAGAGGCTGCATATTCTCATATTCAGCGCCCTCAACGTTTACGTGAATGGCTCTGTCTGCACCCATGGCTAGGGCAGTTCTCAGAGTCTCCACGCACTGTGCCGGACCACAGCTGAAGGCGACAACCTCCGAAGCCAGCTTCTGTTCTTTCAACTGCAGAGCCTGCTCTACAGCAATCTCATCGAATGGATTCATGCTGTGCTTGACTCCTTGCGTGACAACTCCAGAGCTGTCGGGCTTGACTCGGACTTTCACAGCATAGTCAATCACCCGCTTGCATCCAACCAAGACTCGTAGCGACATGATTCTTTCTTGCCAAGCTACTCAACTCGAGCAGTCCGCCAAACTCAAGACCCAACTAACACTTCTCAAGGCCAAGACAAAGCATCAGAATCGACTCTTCAATCGTGGTGTCAAAATATCAAAAAAGCAAGAGTCACTCTGACCTTTTCGATGAGATTTTTGCGGGCAAGTGCACCAATCATGGTAATGCAGTGATCTAGCGCGCGCGTCGATGACGATGAGCCAAAAACTGCCAGTCCACGACACCACGATCACGAGACTACGCAGTACGAGTGCGACCTGAATCAGATTTTCAGGTCGGGGAGTCGGTATTTGACGACTCCTCCTTGCAAAGACTTCAATCATGATTGTCGTTTTCATCTCGGACAGGAGGATCCACGCCTCGGCCTCCACGGAATTGAAAAGAATCACGAACCAACAGAACTCCTCATAAGTCTAGAAAAGGTTGTTTGTACTTCTTGCCCATGTCGGATGCCTGTTTAACACCGACCACCAATCCGCTCAAACTAAATACTCGTATGAGGCTGTTGTTTGCTCCAGGCAGTACGATTATTTTGTTAGACGATTGTGACTGGATACGTCAGGATTTGTGTAAATTGTTCAGTATGCAGCTGAAGTACAAACTCTTCGATGTTGTGTCGAATTGTTGAATTATCTGCGAATGTAGAATGATGGCAATAAAGTCCTACTACTAGTACTACTAAATTCTTGGTGGAAGCTGCCGTGCACACAGGCTATTGGTACAATCTGCCGACGTATCTCTTCATATTCAAGTTTTGGCGATTTGAATTCCCAACCTCAATTATCACAATGGCGGAGATTAACCACGATAGTGCATTGCAGGTGGCTGACTGGGTTTATAGAGACGAGGGCCACGCCAATATCATCATAGCGAGTCGCTCGGTACGTACTGAATGGCCAATTCCGTCAGCCTGATTTCAAATTATTTGTCGATCAATTACGGGTCCTCTGTTCCACCTACATTTTTCTTCACTCTTTAGTCACGGGACGTATTGAGGTTGCGGAAGTGTGAAATTTCCCACTCACCATCGCAGCAGGAAGTGCCACAAGCCAAAGTACGTACCAGTTCTCTCTCGCAAATAATTAATTGTAGAAAATTACTGCTAAAACTGAGGTGTGTATTGAAAGCTACTGGCAATTTTCTGCCATAATGCACTTGGAGGTTAAGAAGCTTTCTCGTCCTCTGTATCATTGTCACGACCAGCTTCAACTCACGATAAATCCTGCTCGATGTGTTGTATTGTTTCAACCATATACTCTGTGTATTGGTGCATTTATGGCATGCCCTTGTCATGATCATACAATGGACGCATTAGATTACACGTTCTGGACCCAGATTTTTTTATTATTCTCGAATGACCAGAATGAATGGATTGCGCCCACGTAAACGAAGACCTGGAATTTCTCGTGAATTCGTACTCATGATCAACTCGACAAAACCGTGGAAAGAGTTCATAGGCTGTGTTTACATGAGGCGTTTCAACCCGGGTTGAGTTCGACCTGGGTCAGATTTCAACCCACCATGCACACAAAATGAATGGCGCGTTTACATGACGCATTGCGCTTGACCCGGGTTGAAGTTTCGCCCCGGGTTGATTTCAACCCCCCCCCCCCCCCCCAAGGGGTGGGTTGAAATCAACCCGGGTCAAGAAAATCGTACAAACGTACTTCTGTGCGTATCTCGCGCCAGGTTTGAACAGCACTGCACATGCAAATTTCGCGCGAACGGACTCACGTGACCATACAGGACTCTAGAAGTGGACTTTTGGCGGCATATCAGTATTTGACCCGGGTCAACTGTCTTCATGTAAACGCTCACCTATTTTGTCTATCGTTACTAGTATCGTACAGACTTTCAACCCGGGCTGAACTCGACCCGGGTTGAAATTTCTCATGTAAACACAGCCATATACAGTGCTGCCAAACCGTCCGATTTTTGAAGGCTCTTCCAAAAACCGGTCCGAAAAAGGAAAGGTCCGAAAAGCAGCCAAAAATGCCACAGATCAGTATACCAGGTATACTTTCCTATGCAAAAGTCCTGTATTTTCACTTTTCAGCGCAAGTGAGGCACAAATCACTGTCTGTACATGACTTTGTCACTTTGTGCTTCTAAACAGGTATCGGTAAGCTAGAGCTTGGCTGTGGAAGTGCAAAGTACAGACTGTCCGTGTAACATACCTGGATGGCATGTACATGTACACTGTACGGTGTGTGACCACACTTATGCATTGCAAATTCATGACAACTAATGTCAGTAGTGAGTAATGTTACTCTGGGGTGCTATATCGGTTACCATGGCAACGAAGCGAATTTTCATGGTATTTTTGGTGATTTTTGAATTCTCTGGAAAAATTTGCTGAGAAGAAAAATTCACACCCCGTGGCCAGCCTTGGCATATACGGTATAACATTATTACATAATGCAGCAGACACGCGCACGGTCAAGAAAGTGTACATCCAATGCATAAATTCTGGCGGGTTCTAGTCTAGCCCACTTTTATTTTTCGCGAACACGGCAGTTTCATAAGCCTTTTGCGCGTTGCACAGATGCACGAAATCCCGTAGAATCCCGTAGAACCTAATGGGTGTTGACTGTGCAGGACCCTATTGTGTTTTCTGCTATTTCCGCTAAGAAATGGGACCTGAAAGCATTTCAAACGAAAACCTTTTCTGACAAAGACCTAGCTAGTCATTTGTTCTAACCAAAGTGAAGAAGCTGGAAAAGGGATTGTTTGCCATTAATTACGAGGCTAAAATTGGTCAAATGCGCATGCACAGCACACAATGAACACCCAACCGGGTCTGTACACACGTTCGTCCTAGTACTGAGCTTCGTACATCTGCACAACGCGCAAAAGGTCTATTCTTATTTGATGGTACAGTCATACATGTACATTTACGCAGATTTATACTTCTGAGTGTACATTACGGTTTCCGTTCTTATCTGCAAAAACGCAGCCTAGACCATTCTTAAAAATTGGTGATTCTAGACTGGCCGTTCTTCGGTGCTCCGTTCTTCTCGTGAAATTTTTTATTTATTTATTACAGCATCTCATAGCACAGTGAGAACACCGGCCAATACAAAGAGAGAGGGTGTTAGCCAACCACGGCAAGGAAGGGAGAAGGGGAGGAGAAGAAAAAAAAGGAACCGGCATGGATAAGCAGTGATTGCAACAAAAATGAGAAACACAAAATCAAAGTCAAGGCGCGACAAGGCTCTTAAAAAGGCGGAGGGAAGAAAGGTCCTTAGCTTCTTGGGGAAGTGCCAGCCATGCAGAGTACGCAATGAAAAAGGGAGAGTGAAGTAGAAAGGAGGACTTAGGTTTCGGAAGGGAAAGGGAGTTTCTCGTGCTACGGGAAGAGAACCAGTTGAAACAGTGGAGGTGAGGTGGACACAGATTGAGTTTGAGAGAATGGATAAGGGTGACAAGATGTGAATTACGTCTCTTAGACAAAGGGGTAGTGACTAGTGTCAGCAAGGGCATAAAGGATGGAAGATGGAAGCATGCGGGGTTTTCGGAGGAGGATTTTGAGAACTTTTTTGTGGTGAATTTCGAGCTTGGCAGCACGGGTTGTGGAAATTCCAGCCCAAGCAGTATTCTGCATAATCAAAAATGGGGCGTAGGTAAGCTGAGTAAAAGAGGAGTTTACAAGAGATTGGGAGATGGTAACAGTGAGAAGAGAGAATTCCTAAAGATGAACTTGATCGTTTACATATGTAATCGGTGTGGGGTTCCCATGAAAGATTAGAGTCAATGAAAATGCCAAGATGCTTATGGCTGGAGACTATGTCTATAGGCTGGGGGAAAGTGGGATGGAGGAGGGGCGGAACATCGGGCTGAGAAGGAAAGAGCATGATTTTAGTTTTAGACAGATTGGGCGATAACCGCCAAGACGACATCCAGGAAATTACTCTTTGAATCCCGTTAGCTAGGTTACTCATCAGGCCAGTGATGTTAGGAGATGCCCGTAGGAGCGTTGTGTCGTCTGCGAACAGTGATGTGCCCTGGGCAGCTGCGGGCAGATCATTGACGTATAAAATAAAAAGAAGGGGGCCGAGGATGGAACCCTGGGGAACTCCGGATAGTACTGTTGTGTCGGCCGAGGACGTCCCATGTACCGTGACGTACTGCGTTCGCCCAGTTAGGTAAGATGTCAGCTATAGCAGGGGATTGCCGTCTACAGTAAATGATCCACGAAGCTTGGCCAAATCAGCGCCCGACAGTACTGTACTCCCGCTACTGATTTGTAGGGGTGAAGCGAATACGAATATTGACTATCCGAATATTCTTCCTGTTAACGAACGAACGAATATTCGTTCGTTTATGACTTCTTCAATGATAAGTTAATAACTGATAACATGTGGTCGGTTTTCTGCGATAATCAAACAAGGGATCACGCCGACATCGACGCGCTGCCACAGAGCGATGATGAGGAGAATCTCGATGACGCTGAATCGGTGACAGAGACTGCGACCGGCACCGGTACAGCAGCAGGAACGAAGCGAAAGCCCTTCCAGCCAAACATGCCAGAGGATGTAGCAGAGCGCTGTGTGAAAGTATTCGTATTCGTTCGTGCTGAGAGCGTCTATAACTAGTTACTTGTGAATTTATGACCTCTGATTGTATATCATGTACTAATATAGTGCTGATACTACTCTTGTTTTTGTTTTTGTGTGACCGTATTTTGGTTGCAGGTGGACACATCGAAATGGCAGCAACAGCTAGAGTATCAGAACTTTGTAATGCGACCACTCATCGGTCCCAAATATGTCCCGTTAGCGGTGCGTCCTTTTTTTAAATGTACATGTGTGCACATATCGTGTACTTTGCCTTGTTGTCTTGATGATGATCGTGTGTATGTTGCAAAGAAGGATCCACGAGCGGGATTCGAACCCGGCACCCCTGTCTTTCCGGGACAGTGCCCTACCGATTAGGCTACCGGGGATCGCACACACCCGTAGGTCCTTCCTGCGCCTTCATTTCCCGTGGTTACCGCCAGTTTCTTTCTGGGAACTTGTTCTTGCGTTCATTCACCTGAAAGGCTGAAAGTAGATCAAACTGGCAACGCTTACGCATCAGCTATCCGAACTTCAGTCATCCAAGCACGTCAATCAACCCCGCAGGAAATTCTACGATACCAGCTGAATATGATCAACTATCAAGAGTACATGAAACCAGTGTGCAGGTCTGATGGGTTGCTGCCACGGCGAAATTCCGTGATTACATCATTTTAGTGATGTGGTACGAACAAACAGGATCCAAGCAGGTCTCTCTCTCTCTCTCTCTGCACAACTGCAGCTCAGTTGTACGCACTACGCCGCTTCTCGCAATTTTTAGTGTCTGTACTTTTCACTAGTCCAAGCAGGTGCAGGCCCCATGGTTCTTAGATAACTGAGGCAGCTTTCACAGGCTTCACTCTAACCAAAGCTGTGAACGCTTCCTGCTGCACAGCACTCCGGGCGAGAAAAAGCGCGCCACAGGTTGTTCTGTAGGCACACATCACATCTGAGCATTATATTCGGCTATATGATGGGCAAGTCTACATTCACAGGATTGGCCTTGTTGAGATTTATCATGAACAGAGGCATGCTTCAATCGTATCCGAGTGTTGGGCTACAGCTCAGGGGCACGATTATCGTGACTGTGGACATCACATTTATCACTGAGTGGATTATTCGAAATATAATCTCGAGAGATTTTTGCTTTCTTCTTCGGTTATAGAAGTTTTTGAGTTTTGAATTTCCCCTTTCATGCAGTATATTGACACTGCCAAAAATAAGTCTGTACACATTACCAGACAGATATAATGTACAAACTTGGCTTGCATGCTTTTTCACGTACAACATACAACTTGTTCATAATTATAAAGCATGTTCCATATAGGCATTCATCCATATCTGACTGCTCTTGTTTTATCGACAATTGTCCCTCTTGCCGGTTCCACAGTGTTCTCCGTGTGGATTTCGTTGACGTGAGCCTCTCCCGTCGTATGAATGCTCGCGGTAGCTTTTTATGGCTTTCTTCCTGAGCAGTCTGTCGCTTGACTTTTTCCTGTTTCTTTGCTTTGTGTTTTGCATGGTGTGCAGCATTTAGTACAGCTGCCGGAAGGCTTTGTAGATGATGTCAACAAAGCTTGTCTCTCAAGAAGACCAGGTAAATGACCATTGCGTGATTTTTTGTAAGTAGCACTCACTCCCTAAGTCTTCTTCAGTGTTCTCTGTGGCAGGACGATGGTGGACTGTACTTCATTATTTATTAGACACCCTTAGCAAACAACGTTATGTTGTAACGGTATTACCGTAAGGGGGAAAATATCGTGATTTGGACTCGACCTTTAGCAAGACGCACGCTATTTTTAGTACGCTGTTGCCACGAGAACAGCTTTTACTTCGCGCGGTACAACTATTTATGTCACCATATACGCGATACAAGGTGAAATGCGTACGGACTATGCAATATTTGGCCGAAAAACGTACCGTTGATCACAACGATAAATCAGCCCCCATAACGTTTTTACGCTGCAGCTTCAACGCTATTTGGGTGATCAAGGTACGAGTACCGTAAAAAATAGCGTTACCGTTGTTTGCTAAGGGTGTCTATTTATTTATTTTGTACTGTATTTTCCTGATTTATAAGTCGAACCCCACTTTCAGGCTTGAGCCATATTGTTTCAAAAACTTTCAATATATTAATATTATTTACATCAGTAAGATGTCACACTCGATTGTAAGTTGCGTCCCCTTCTTTGCCCTTGAAGTTTAGTGTAAACAGGTGCGACTTATATTCGGGGAAATGCGGTAGTTGTATCTGCGTGAATGCAGAAAAGCCTTTTCAGTGAAATGTAGTATGGTATGCTTCCAGCATTGTGGATGTTCCTTAATCTGTTTACTGTCGCTGGTGGTAATTTTTCGATTGTGTAGCCATTCGACTCAACAAGGCTGGTGACCCATCATGGCAGTGTGGGATTCTTCTGCCGGATGTAGCACTCTTGCCAATAATGAGTAATGGTGAGGATGTGAACACATGCCAGTATCAGATGAAGTGATTCATTTGCTTGGGTTTCTTAAGGCATGCTTTATTTCTCTGTGTGTATGTGTACGTGTGTGCGCGTCAGCCTGTGTGTGTGTGTGTGTGTGTGTGTGTGTGTGTGTGTGTATTGTAAGGTGTTCACTCGATAAGACCGGTGTGTGAGACATGTTGCTTGAGATGGCTGGTTTCATGTGGTTTCTTCTTGTAGTGGCTTTACTATGCCGGTCGCTTTGCAGCATTATTACTTGGCCCTTTGTCCGAAACTAAACTCATGTTTGACTTCCATTTTGACTGTAGGTTCTCCAACATCCTCGTGCAATCCCATGTCTAATGGAGTTCGTGGGGATGTCTCAGTTGCTGATCCACCTCCCACTTTTTGCATTGAACTAAAGGTAACTACAACTGTAGTGGATGACCATACCGTGTATGCCTGCACAGAGACATCTATGCACGCCCGTGTATACCCAGTACTACTACTAGTACTACTAGTACTCATGGTCACTTGTACAGCCTTGCGAAGTGTTGAACTTTGTAATTCCAGCACCCAAGTTCCCATACCTAGATAATTTGCACTACCTCGGTGCAATCACCAGCAGCGATGGGCGTGTCTGAGTTATGTGTATGTGTGCTTCAGTCTGTGTGCACACTGGCCGGTGGTTTAGCGTATTGGGATAGGGAGAGTGCATTACCATGAGATCAACAAGGAGAGAAGTTTGTTGTTCATTATGCTGTCAAGACCTGTTTAGTGTTGCTCCCTCTGGCACGACAGGGCATGAATTTCTCTTGTCTTGCCGAATAGATACTAAATCTTCCCGTGCATGTACTGTGTATTAGGCGCGTAGCTCACATGGGGACCAGGGGGGGGGGGGGGGGGGGGGGGGGGCACATGCACCCCCTAAAAATTTCGACCTAGGTTCAGCATGCACATAATAACCATGAATGACATGCACCAGTCATCCTACACATATGCGGCCGTGCACCCCCTAAAAGGGGAACCAGCTACGCCCCCGTACAGTATCTTTTCCTTGCAAGTTGCATTGATTCGTATCTGACAGTGATTTTCTTTGTTGGTCTTCTCTCTCTCTCTCTCTCTCTCTCTCTCTCTCTCTCTCTCTCTCTCTCTCTCTCTCTCTCTCTCTCTCTCTCTCTCTCTCTCTCTCTCTCTCTCTCTCTCTCTCTGTGTCGCTGTCTCTTCTCTCTCTCTTCCTAGCCAAAATGGGGCTTCTTGCCGGTTTCTCCACATGCGTCCGGAGGCGATGGAGTCAAGTACACACATTGTCGCTTCTGCATGTTTCAGTATCTGAAAGTGGCCGAGGGCAAATGGACGCGTCGCAGTCTCTACTGTCCTCTTGATCTATTCTCAGGGTAAGTGTGGACTGTTCAGAGTGATGTTGCTATATCTCTGCCAAGGGTTTGCATGGACAGTAGACCAGGTGCACAATGTCATTGTGGTGTCATCCACACACACTTTCTAAAATGGGTGCTTTCAAGAGTGCTCTTGGTGCTTTGCAAATCTAAAAATAGTGCAAAGCCCCTTTCATCTTTCAGGTCTGTACGAACTTCTTTACTGTTCACCCGGTCTTTTGCGCTATGCATTGCCTATGGGCAAAGTGATCTGCTTTCATAAGCTGTCATACTTATCCGTTTGGAGGCATCTGACCCCCATTGATCCTTTTGGGTCCTGGCATGCTTACAGCCGTGGGGAAATCGGTCAAACTCGGTCGCACTTGAACCGTGAGATTTAATTTATTAGTACAGTCGTCCCTCTATAAACGAGCACAATAATCAGTAGCCGAAATCTCCTCTTTATACAGGGTACCCCGTAAGAAGGCCTTAGGCCTGTGGGAATGCCCTATTATAATTTTTTTTCAAATAATAAATAATACACTTTCGGATTATAAAAGGACCACTGTAATTTGCTAAACCCTCACCCACACTGCATCGCTCACAGCCCCTTTGCTGCAAACGAGTCAAATTTACAAATTTGAAGTGCACGACACATCCCAGTCAGCACCAAAGAAACCATGAGTAGTGCAGCGTGAGAGCGATTATTGATGCGTGAGTGGTTGCGTTGGAGTTTGCGTACGTTGAGAGAAAAGTATGAATTTGTCTTTTATAATTGGAGTGAAGAATGGTATTTCTCTCAGTTCTATTATACAAGTACGCTTGTACTTGGGACTTTGCTGTCCTAGGCTGAAGTACTAGTAATGCACAGTGCGCTTTGTTAGTACAGTTTGCTGCCTTTGCGTTCGTTGTGTAATTCCATTATCCCTGCTCTTTTTGCCTGTCACATCTGTCCAGCAACCCTGCTCGTATCCGTCATGCCCTGTATTCCATACTGCAAACACCACAGAATAACATCAGGATACTCAAGGTATGTATAATCATGGTGCAGACCCAACCATCCTTATGTAACTTATTGCTTAGCTACAAGAGATGACTGTAGACCCTACACGATGGTAGCGTGTCGATGTTCTATTTCCGTGACGAACCCCTCTTGAAAAGAGAATTTAGAGCGCGTTGTGGAGTGGTGGACACTGGAGTGGCTGATCCTCCTTTGGATGCATTTAATCTGTTCACCAGGAAGGTAGCCTGCTACCCTTCCATCAGCACTGCATTGCACTACCGTCTTCAAATTGAGAAAGTTTGCAGAGAAAGCCATGGCAACAAGCACCGGCGGAGGATGTCTTTTGGGACAATGAAAATAAAATTGCTGCATCCGCTTTAGCACGCAGCAAGTTTTCAGGCTCCTAGCCAATAGTAAAAAACCCAATCTACACCGGGAGATTGCAGCACAAGTAACGGATGTATCACTCACCTTGTCCTCAAGACCAGCATTGAGTCCAGCTGCCTGAACGTCCTTGATGATGCCTCGTAGAATGACATGTATATTTGCAATGGTTTTGACTTGTTCATCACCATAATCATGACAGGAGTGCTTCTTATTCACCAGCTAAATGCTCAGCTCTCAATCATTCATGACCCAGCAGTTGATGCAGACTGCCATCTCTGTCATCATGACTTGTGGAAAACTATGGCCAATCCAAAGCGCTGACTGTTGCTGCTTCCGGTCCTGCTGCTCCAATGTGTGTCTCGTACAGGATGCAACACAAATCTTCAAGGCGAATTCCAACGTAAGCTCTTGCTCCTGCACCTGATACTTTGTAGCACTCATGCAGAACATATATATGTACTCCTCTCTTGCATACTACCTGCTTGGGCGTATAATTATTACTCAGCAGATCATTTTGTCGTCGTGAAGACCAGGGGATTTGTCCTTTACACCGTGTGTGTGTGTCGCCGAAGAAGAAATAACACCACTGTACTTCTAATGGACTGCACTGTTTCAGAAGTTCTTCTTGTCGTTCTTGCCTTTCCTTGTTAGGGCATGGCATCGCAGGAAAGCTGGGAACAACTGCAGGAGGCATGCAGTGGACTGCCTGAAGTAGTGTCCGAGGATGAAGATCGCTACTACGACTTCCTACCCGAGGAGTTCAAGACACAGTAAGACCATGCTCATCTGTTGAACGGTGTCCCGCTGGGCCCCGCTGGGCTGCCACACGCTACAAGTTATTGAATGACGATGCCGGAAAGTGGTTCTGTTGTACGGAATGAGATGGTGTTGGAAGAACTTCTGGCTTTCCTTTGCAGGCTGCACTTCTTGGCTGATACACTGCACTTCTTGGCTGATACACTGCACTTCTTGGCTGATACACTGCACTTCTTGGCTGATACACTGCACTTCTTGGCTGATACACTGCACTTCTTGGCTGATACACTGCACTTCTTGGCTGATACACTGCACTTCTTGGCTGATACACTGCACTTCTTGGCTGATACACTGCACTTCTTGGCTGATACACTGCACTTCTTGGCTGATACACTGCACTTCTTGGCTGATACACTGCTGTTCAGAATACTAGTGCATGTATTAGGCAGTGGTATCAAGCCTAACTTCAGGTTAGGAAGCGATACCACCAGCAATGGCTCTACTGCAAACTCCCCATGCACACGTGTAGGCGAATGTGTGTCTGTGTCTGTGTGTATACCTGCATGCACTCGTTTGCATGTTAATGTAAATCTGCTGTTGATGGCTAACACTTGCCCCTTGAATATATTGTATTGCCTCCCATGTACAGATGCCCCAAGAATGTGGGTACTGTCCTACACATCGTTCAGCAGATACTGCTGCACGATGGGCATAGGGGCCATCACGTCCTTCCCCAGAGCAAGTGGAAGACGCTGCGCAACATTCCCATCTGCCAAGCGGGTACCTTTAAGGACGTGTTGCTCGCGACAAGCTCGCAGTCGAAAAGCTCGGCATGTGCTGGTGATGAATCGAGTCCAAGAGTAGCAAGCGATGATGTGGACATATCACCATGCGGTGGTGTACTAGCTTCTGTACGTCTTGCACAGATGTTGGATGACATGGACATCGAAGGTATATTTCCTCTCGTAACCCGCATCGGTGCACTAAATTCCACTCGGTGGGAGCAGTGGGGACTAAATGGTCCCTACACCAGCGGGGCTTGGACACAACTCTCCACAGAGTTAGGTGAGCATCTGCCCATTAGGTTGGTGCTGAGAGTGTTAATATTTCACTGTGTGTACACAGGACTGCATTTGTAGTATGAACTGCTGTGAACAATTGTGCATTGATGCTGGTACTACTGCTGCTACTGCTGCTACTGCTGCTGCTGCTGCTGCTGCTGCTGTTGGTGGTGGTGATGGTGCTGCTGCTGCTGCTGTAGGTGGTGATAGTGCTGCTGCTGCTGCTGCTGTTGTTGCTGTTGTTGTTGGTGGTGGTGCTGCTGCTGCTGATGCTGTTGGTGCTGGTGCATCTTAGTCCTTGCTTATGCAATTTCAAGTCCATTATTGGAGCTATTGAGCCCAATCCTAGTTTTTGATATGTTTCACATTACAGTCTGTTTTGCCACTGGTGTCCTCATGTATGCGCTAGGTCGTCGTTGTGAAGATGAAGATGATGAGACTGACGAGTTTGCTGTGAAAAAGGTACCGTATTTTTCCGGTTGTAAGTCGACCTTTTACGACTTAAAATAGAAGGAGAAAGGGTGGGGGTCGACTTACAACCGGGATTCGACTTATAACCGGGAACTATGAGCATCTTACAAAAAATGACCTGCACTGCATGCACGAGTGCAACATGTTTACACATTTTTGCCAGTTTATTGGCCTTTTTCAAGGATTGGGACGTTACACCCTCCAATAAGGAATGTTTGCATGATTTGTTGATGTGTTAGCAGCAGGACGTGGTTAGTAGTGCTTCTTTGGGTGAACACTTTAAAACGCAGAATTGAGACCTCCAGATACGGGGGTCGACCTATAACCGGGGTCGACTTACAACCGGTAAAATACGGTAAGTGTCATTGTTGGTCTGCCATTCAAACCCCTCTGCCTCCTGCCATGGCTTTGATGAATACAGGAAGAACGGGCGCCGAAAAAGCACTTCGTCGAAGAACACTAACCGGGCTGGAAAATGCACAATTTTTTAAAAGAACAATCCTGGCTAGTTTTTCGGATTAAAAAAACCCACATTTACAATGTACATGTATGACCTTGTACTGTTTTCTACGTGTTTTCATGATTGCGGAATAAGAACAAAATGACTTTAATTTGAACAGTTCAGAGCAATGCTAGGCTGCACCTTGAGCCCTTGCGTTCTTCATCGCCATACCTTACTGTACCGCTTTCCTCATTTCTGTGTGCAGATTCGACAGTTCTCAGCTGCTTGCACAGCGAAGGATTGCTCTATTATGGTATCATTTCAGCAGTGTACACCTGGCCTACATCAGCCCGAGTAAGTGGCATTCAAGAGTGCATGTTTGTATGTGTATTTTGTTGTCATGTTTTATGTTCCAGTCCTGCCTGGGAGCGTTTTTTTTTTTCAGCCGTGCTGCTACCCACAGTCAGCACGGCGTACTGTACAGCCAAGAGTGTGCAATTGCCAGTGGGCAGCTGTCAGGACTCCTTTTTCAGAATTACTAGTGCGCCATTTTTGATGATGTAACCACTTCCATACGTGCGTTCGAGATCCAAGGTTGAACGTGCTCGGTTCAGTTTTGTGTATGGGGTGCAGTATCACATCACGAGAATGTTGTATTTCCGGCTGAAAGCGAGTGACGCAGATTTATGTGGAGTTGCACGCTCTGGGGAGGTATGTACTCTTGTTACAGGCGATTACTTGTTATGGCTCATCATTGTGGTTGTACTATCCCCATGACATGTCGATCATGTGTTCACCGGCTGCCAGGGCATGGCCAGAGCAGCGTGAATGGGGGGCTGCTTATTTGATGGACAAAATGTCTGAGATACAGTAAACCACCTGTCAAGGCGACCACTCGGACAAGGCGACCACCTGTCCTAGAAGACCACTGCAACCAGGACCAAGAGATGCTAGTTCCAGTCAACTGACCCTGGATTAGGAGACCACCTGGTAATAGAGACCATGTTTTGAAGGTCCCTTGAGCAGTCGTCTTAGACAGATTTCACTGTACTGCGGAGCTTCTCGTGAAGTGACGCTGTACCACCTGCTGTGCTTTTCTTTGCCTTCAGGGATCGCACTGTGGAGGTGGTGACGTCAGCTGGAGTTCAACGATATGCCTACAACATCGCTGTAGTCGACCTGGATATCAAGGAGTTTCAGCGCGTCAAAAAGTACTTTGTCGAAGACCACCAAGTAGTCAGTAACTATGTGGCTGCCACCCAGTCTAAACAGGATGCTCAAGTGTAGTGAGTATATTTTTAATCAGCTGTTGATACTAGCAGCTGATTTTCTTTGGATGACTCGCCAGATCAGTCTCTGAGCAGAGTTTGTAGTGCGCCAGCCTATGGCCACTGTCATGGCAACAAGCTCTCAGTGGCCACATACGCTCACTGATCATCGCTCGATTTCCTGTGTGGAGTTTGTCGTCACAGGATAATGCAAATAGTCTTTGTATTTATGGCCTGTGGGCCGTTCTATTGGTGTCTGCCAGTTCTGGTGAACTACCAGATGGACTGTTCGCGAGTTGCTATCTAGCTCAATTTTTGTATGATTTTCTTGCTTATTTTTCGATTTAGTCTTTCCCAGTTCACGTAGTGCCTCGTTGTCTATTATATTCTCTGCATTAGTTGCCGAACATTCACACCAATACTTCTTTTCTTCCCAGCACATTGTCATGCTGTTAGAAATGAACACGTCTCAATTTCTTTGACATTATATGCTATTGTTACCCGGAAAGTTTCGTTTTCCTTGGTTTTATCCTCCAAGCAATGTAGAATTGTATGTATTTGGTGGCTTGGCGAAAGCTACAGCCGGCATTAGCTAGAGGGCGGCAACCGCCTTCAATGTCTTGTCATGCGTCCGTGCCACCGTTTTCATTATTCCCATCACATCATCGACTACCGGTCGTTACGTTATCAGTCACTCTTTAGGAAAGCGCTCCCCATACCAGCATATGGACAGTTTTATTCTGAGTCAGTGCATGTATTCTGTAATTGCTGCCATTGCTCATCAGCACAGTTTCAACCGATGCGTATGTTTAAAACCGTGTGAGACAGTTTGCCTCGTGCTACACATCAAACCTGGATCTTTTTTACCGCACTTGTTATGATTACTGTATTCTATATTGTAGTGGCTGTGGCTGGCTCCACAGTGGATACCAATTCTTTTGCATTCTAATTATTATTAGCATCTCTGATGTTTCTTCTGCGTTCACTCTCCCTTGCCGTGCTAGAATCTAATCGGATAGTGCCAGTGACGCTGTGTTGTGTGTGTGAATGCAGTGCCCTTGTGTACAATTCTAGTCTGCTCCTAATCTAGCTTGAAGAGTAATCTTGCAAAATTGACAGTATGGCGTGGGCTGGCACATGCTTGAAACACTAAAATAATAATCTAATGGGACCTGATCATCCATTTCCAGCTTCAAGAAGTTCTGAGTGTTTAGATCAGGGAGTAGTACAATACCATTATTGTACTACTCCCTGGTTTAGATCTGCGGATCGTAGGCAAGCATGGCATCTGTTACCAATGTCGCATGCAGTCATGTCTTGGTCACTGTCCCCTTGGAAAAATGCGATTCCGCGGTCGCGGCAAATTTCGCAGAAATTGCTATCACCCGCGGAAAACACGGAATCTACACTTTTGCCCGCGGAATTTGACTTTTTCAGGGTAAATTAGTAAAATTACTACTCAGAAAGCAGCAGAAAAACTACCTCGCGATCTGTTGGAGCACATTATGCTCTTGCCAGTGTGGGTGAGTGCAGGATCTCCAAAATTCTTCACTCTCATGTCAGTTTGTGACTGCAAAGGATAGTGTGAAAAGTGCTCCTTCATGCAACTAGTTGTCATATCCTCTACAAGGAGGGTGAAAACTTGCAGAAAGTGCCGCAGATTTTGATTTTACCAGTTCCACAGAAAATGCCGCAGAAAACCCCCCTTTTCCCCGCAGAATTTGCCGCGGAATTTTGAATTATTGGCCGCGTTTTCCCAAAGGGACAGAACTTGGACTTTTTTATTATAGCTTGTAGATATTATGATAGAATTTGAGCTGAATCAAAGAAATCTGGATATAGCAGCGGAGAGGAGGCGTCCAGATGGTTAGTCTGTTCTTCGAGACGGCAGTGAGTATGTATAGCTGGCGTGTCAAGGGTAGAATACTTGTGTGATAAGGGAGAAGTGTATAGGCAGATTGAGGAAGGCCAGGGCCAGACATAGCAGTATTGTAAATTAAAGTGCAATGCTTTATAGAATGTACAAAAACCACTGGCACCAAGATTATAATTATGTAGACGATAGTTATGTGCAGGTGGGCATTTTCAAGGTACCATGGTCCTCTTATCCTGTCAACGCATGTCCTGCTGTATGTACAGGAGAAATTACGCAGGACAAGTGCAAGCAGTTGCACGCAATAAGAGCAAATGGAAAAAACGCCTAGGTGTGAATGTGCAGCATAGGTCAAAAGTGAAATTCGAAATTTGTGAAAATAAAGTCCTAACAAGATTTACTCGTGGAATAAGATAAAGATGTTGAAGACTGCATTAGTGCACTGAAGTAAGTGTGCGTGTGTGAGTTGTACAGCAAATGGGTCTGCACTGGCTGGCACATGCATGCATTCAATATAGGCCTGTCAGAAAGCAGCAAGGGACTGCAGAAGAAAATTAAAAATCACCAGCTAACTTAAAGTACAATGCGTTCTGTCAAGAATTGGTCAGTACATAGCCGTGGCGTGATTGAAGCCTTCTGTCAGCATGTCTCCACTGCTATTTAGATCGTTCTGTAGAAGGGGCAATGGAGAAAATGTGCAAGATACATACAAGTGAGATGTACTGCACCTTCATCGTAACGTTATGTCGAGTAATGATTCTATTTGCTGCCCTGGGATTAACCTGTCCGACTTGCGTGCATGCAGTGTCGCATGGATGGAATCTATGCAATATGGAAGCACATGCCCTAACTTGGTCAGGCTGCCAAGGCACTAGTCAGCCAACAACTGTTTCGCGAGAAGTATAGTACTGGTAGGCATTGAAAGGATCAGCAGTTCACTCTAGTTTTCAGCTAGCAGGCATATAAACAACATGGTGCAACGTTCGGTGTGAGGCGATTCTTATCAGATGCACACACCAAAATAGCACCCCAGTGGAGCAATTGGTATGCACGGGGGGTCGAGGAAACCGACGTCCGAAAATACACCACCCACTGACGCGACTGAGGCTACTGTCAGACCAACCGAATACAGTATTGGCAGCAGTGTACGTGGATTCCCAATTTGGAAATGACTGGCATACTGGTATTGGTGTCTTCTAGTATTTTGGCATTTCAACCTGTACATGTAGTTAGTCAACTGCCATAGCTACTAGTAGACACTGACACAGTTATCAGTGTTATTCATACTGTATACTGTAGTACATCAGGGGTTGACCACTGTCCTGCACTCTATCCATACCTCTTACCTGATAGAAGTGGCTGATGAGGTCGTGCATGGAGGCGTGGATTTTCGGATTGGTTCCCAACTGGAACTCGTTCTCGTCTCGCTGCGTGATCATGAAGTGCTTCATTCCCGCACCGCCCCTGGAGAGAGGATGCACACAAGCACCACGAGCACAGGACATGTTGCTCATACTGTATTGCAGGACTGTGGTGATCTCAGTCAATGTCAACGACAAAGAGCTATCACTGGCTGGTACTCTAGTATGGCGTGTTCATCGTACTACTTGTAGGACTTTTCTCCGGCGGCATGTTGTCAAGCCAGAAAGTCTGCTACCCTCGATTCTAGATGCACCAGCAGTTCTCACCAGTATCACCAGTAGCAGTTCAAAAATTTTAATGGAGATATTAATTTTTTTATACTTCAAAAGTGTCAGATAATATCTGACACTTTTGAAGTGTATAAGAGACCTCCGTCATTAATATAGCAGCACAAGTGACACCGTCGACTTACCTCACAGACAAGGAGTATCCCAGATGTCGCTCTCCAATTCGAACCAAGAATGTCCCGACGGGCTGGTCCTTTAGTAGACCATCAGCCTCTCTGTGCAAGTCAGTGGGGAAGAGGACAGAGTGTATTTGTTATTACCTGTGACAAATTACTGCATGTCAAGTTGATAAGAGGCATGGCACGCCCCATGCACACGTGCCCAGTGGCAGGCTGTGCAACATCAATTTCCCAACAGATACCCACACTGTCCCAAGGAACACACCACTTTCAATAAAGCTGTCAATGAACTGTTGGTGTTGGGAAGAAGTCACGTGAAGGTAGTGGATTTCTCTCATCCCCAGTTTGGTTTGCTTACAATGCCACATATTCATAAAAGCTCTTAAATGAGAAGCGAAAATGGTTTCAAATCGCACAGTTGGAACAAGTTTCTTCGTGGGCCTGGTCTAGTACAAGTCGTACAATGCTTACTTTCTGGTGATGACACCGTGAAACCACTCTGTTGGTACGCCATCCAGTTTTAGTAGCTGCCGCCCTGTGTTGCCGCTTGTCATGATGCTTGCCTGTGGCGGTGTGATGCTGGAAGACACCACTGGGGCACCATTCGATACACCGCGGGACTTCTGCGAACCGAGCAAAACAAGAAGCAACAGGGGAATGCATTCATGATGCCATCCGTGATTGACCATTGCATAGTGATGGTCTTCCACCTAAGCTGTAGCTACTGCCCACCGGGTGAGCCTCTTTCTTGTATGAACTCACAATCAGCACACTGGAGTAAAATCAGCATACATATTGTTGCATCAATAAACAAGTTTCATACATATGCTAGTATAAAGTAACCATTATTTATCTGGTGCTTTCAAATGTACACTTACGGAGGATGACAGCGACTCCGATGGCACACTAACTCTTGGTTTCGGCCGTGGCGCTTCTTTGGGCAGCTTTGGAGAAGCACGGCTCGATACCTTTGGGCTTGGCTTCTGCGCCGTCGATGGGCGCTGCGCACGGCCAGGGCTTCGTGAGGCTGATGGTGCCTGTGGCAGCCTAGGTTTCGTATCCTCGTAACCAAGCCTCCGCTGGACGTCCACCGGAGGAGCCTCCTTGACACTTTGCAGTTTCTATGCAGGGAACATCAATCAAAACACACACAGGGAGAGAACAATTTATACATTTCCATCTCCAAACATTATAATTATGCGGCCTTGACTCAGGAGGCCAGCAATAGCTCAGCATCTGAGTGCACATAAGGCTTCAAATAATGTCACGAGTAATAAGCTAGCTCTTCACTGGAAGTCTACTGTTTTGTTAGGCAGCAGTACTCCCAGTGCTCCCAGTGCAGCAGTACTCCCAGTACTCCCAGTACTCCCAGTGCACTTTGCCTGTTTCCCTATTGGAAGATCAATGGAATTATATTGACCCTCCCCTTTCATGGTTAACTGGGACAATGTATTCTATAGTGTGCCTCAGTTGACTGGACCATCAGGGTTAATGCATATGGCCTCAGTTGCCACCACTCCACCAGATATCCCAGGACAATGACAGGTTGCAAAGGAACTTGCAGCCAATTCCTCCTCACACCAGGATTGTCACCAGAGCAGTAGTCAGTATTAGGCTTTGTTGATCAGTCAGTGCAATCATGAATGTAGTGTTGTACACTTGAACGTACTGCGTAAGGCTTTGTTGTGTTGCATTAGTGCATCATCATGAGCTAGTCCAGGGCTATCATGACTGACTGAGGCTCTGTCAGTACATGTATAGGGCTTAGTTGTGTTGCACAGTGTGCACTGCCGCAATCCCAGTAAGGCAGCAACACTGAGCAGTGCGGCATGGCTGGTAGCACTGTTGGGTTAGCCCAGAGTTCTAGAGCGCGCACTGCCAATCTCCAACATCCTACAGTTATAATAATTGAGTTTGTCATACAGTTTTACGTAGCTCAGATAGGGACATCATGGATAGCAGGTCACCCCATAACACCTAGGAATCTTAGTAAGTACAAGGACCCAACTGGCTGCAGCTCCATAGCTGTGGTGAAGGCTGCACACGACCCCTGTCAACACGTCTAACCAGTAATGACGCAGTTTGCCTCCGCAGCCGCATGCTGTCCACACTTCTCCTAGATCCTGACCACTGAGGCCTTATCGTCATAAGGATGGGGGTCTACACTGAAGTCCCCGGCTTTCCTAGTAGTATATTGCTGTGACACTTGTGAGTCTGTGCAGTGTCAGCCTATCTAAAGCAGTTGATGGGTAGTTTGACAGGGTGCATACAACCTGAGGCTGAGGCAGGCCAGGCCCAGTGCACTGTCAACCTCAACTATGCGGCAAACATTGGCACTCCATCTGTGAACCATCATACATTGGTATTAATTTATTGCAGATATTTCTTTCTACATTCATGTGTGATGCTTGGTTGTATGCCAACTCATTCATTTGGTGACAGCAGAGGAAAGTGGGTTTGAAGGCGAGCACTCAAGGTAAGTAGGCAAGAAAAGCCAGAGGTGCACACTGCCATCAGGGAGTCCCGCTACACTGTAGATCTACTACACGCATGTGTCACACTACTAGCTTGGTGGGATGACCCAGTGCATGCACACCATCAATCAGGTTTCTATTCTCATACAGTTCAAGGTAAATACTTAGAACAATGAATGGTCTAATTGGTAAGAGGAAATGAGAGGACGCACGTTGCACGTACTACTTCTGTACTAGTACTAGTAGCCACTAGCCAGCTCAGCCATGACCAGCATGCAGCAAAAGCCAAAGGCACATAAGTTTATTTTTTTATTTATTTTTTACAAAAGTATACCAGTAGTACTGCATACACATAATAATATGTACAGTCATATTTCACTACATGCAGCTGCTGGGACTTGGGAGACACGTATCTGTGCAGAGTGACACAACTGGCGATGATAAACTTCCCAGTAATGCCCAGACCGAAATCCGCCCTCACTCACCTGTATCACCAAATCGTCCAGGAAGTTTCTCTCGTTCGGCAGTGGAGCTGGAGGCCGTTCTTCATCTGTCGCCACACTACATTGAGTATAAACAACAACATAACACAGTTACGTAATTACATAAGCGAGACCCTATGATCCCATGGTCAAACAAATCCTGGCAAACAAACACGAAAGGAGACTGCCAGCGTGTACAGAGAATATTGATTAGTGAATGCATTGTTCTAACTGCCAAAGCACTTATGGCGAATCCCACAAACGCACAACACCGGGGAAATACGCGTGCCAGTTTGCACCTCTCGAAAATAGATCATAGCCATTGCAGTAGCATGGACTTAGCGCCTAGCAAACTGCCCTGCGCACAAAACTGACCAGGCAGTCAGTTAGAGCGTGAAACTAATTACTTGACAAAGTGGTGGCCAAAATCACAAAATGAAATTGACTTACTAGTACACATCAATAAGTATTACCAATCTATTCTGCCATCAGTCACCACACGGCTATTACATCTACACGATGTGTGAGAGGTGTACAACTACAATTATTGTAACACTCCACATATATGTACATTCTTTAGCAAACAGCGCCGCACCACCGCCTTGGCGCATGTAGCGCTAGAACAGTAGAAGCAGAAAATCGCTCAGAAACAGGTCTTCGCGCGCACAGCAAAATATAATCGCCACGATATTTGAAGACAAAACTACATTGTAGAATACACCGTCCGTGTACGGCAACATACCTTGCTGTGTTCTCTCCCTGCGATGCTCCTTGCAGAAGTGTAACATAAGCCGGTTGGATTTCCGAAAACTGAGTCTCCAAGAGATCTTCTGGCAGAGCCTGACCGAGCACGTCTAAATTCTCGTAGCGCGGAATCTGCTCTTCGCCGTCGACGCTACAAGAGTGGTGTAGGCACGATCGTGCCATCATAGCAGATCTGTCCGGACTTCTAGTAGTGATCAGAGCAACCACAGTGCTTCCACCACACGCGGTTAGCTGTCCCGGCTGCTGCCGGTTGACGAAATGTTTTTCAGCTGCAGAATGCCCCACTGCCAATCGCTGCTGTTGCACTTGTTGCGCAGATGAACGGAAAGAGCACGGCATAAGCTGAACAGCCATTTGTTTACTCGATGCTGCTCAGCGCACCGTGATTCAGATGGTCTTTCTCCTACGGGTCAGACTGGGGGTATCCACCTACTGATCTGTCTATAACTAGTATAAGTCACAAGTGTGGCTGCACCGCGGCAAGTGATCAGAGCTGATGTCCGGAAGCTCGAAATCTAGGAATGAGAAGGAAGGAGATACTGATAGTGATGCACTGATAGGGCAGTGTTGATATTCGCGGTCCTAACTTTGCTTTGCTTCACTCCGGGAAGAGCGCTTGCATTTGAGGATGTAGCAAGGGACACAGACAGAAAACTGGACCACCGACGGCGACGACGTGGACTCCTAGGGCATGCAGGTATTAATATTCACAACTGTTCGCGCTCCGCTCAACTGAAATCAAGGAAATACCCGGCAAAAATCAGTCCAGTCATTTTGCCATCGTGCTGCTCAGATGATGCTTCGCGCCCCACCTGCACCTGCGTGCAAAGAAGCCTCACGAGACCAGCTTGGGCGCATGGGGAGTGGAGTGCGCAGCGTGACGCAGCCAGCATACCAGGTAAGTGACAGAAAGCATTGGTAGTGACGCAAATGTTCATGATGCTAGCGGTTCGATATCTCTTTGACTGAAATAATATTCCGCGATGAAGGGTCACGGGTTCTAAAACTACCTAATCATTATGTACTTGAAAAAGTTGACAACTACTACTGAAGTACAGTATTCATTTAAAAAAAATGAATGGTCGTCACAGGATACTACCATTGGTACAGGTGTGCATAGCCTTGCATGAGGTGGCAATGCCACAAACCTCCCAATTATTTCCAACTAGTGTGGTTACAGTCAACTTTGCGTATAACGACACTCGGCGGGGCATCAGAAAAGTGTCCTTATTCGCGAAGTGTCCTTATACCCGAAGTCTCATTATACATGTATGTATTACAGTTAGATGGTACTTTGCTCTGGGCATGGAAATGCTGTCGTTATTGGTGAATTGTCTTTATATCCGCAGTCGTTATTCGCGAAGTTGACTGTACCTCCCCCCCCCCCTCCCCCCCCCCCCCCCCCCCCAGAACAGACAGCAGGAGGTTATCAGACGTAAACTTGATTATAGATGTTAGCCCCATCCCTCACACAAACAAGTCAACAAAGAGGCATCTTTGGATTGAGGAGTGCTGGTTTCGAAACAACTGGTTTGAAGCTCAAAGTAGAGCTGGTGTTAGCTCAGAGCAGAGCTGCTGTTAGCTCAAAGTAGAGCTGCGGTTAGCTCAAAGTAGAGCTGCGGTTAGCTCAAAGTAGAGCTGCGGTTAGCTCAAAGTAGAGCTGCTGTTAGCTCAAAGTAGAGCTGCGATTAGCTCAAAGTAGAGCTGCTGTTAGCTCAAAGTAGAGCTGCTGTTAGCTCAAAGTAGAGCTGCTGTTAGCTCAAAGTAGAGCTGCTGTTAGCTCAAGGTAGAGCTGCTGTTAGCTCAAAGTAGAGCTGCTGTTAGCTCAAAGTAGAGCTGCGGTTAGCTCAAAGTAGAGCTGCGGTTAGCTCAAAGTAGAGCTGCTGTTAGCTCAAAGTAGAGCTGCTGTTAGCTCAAAGTAGAGCTGCGGTTAGCTCAAAGTAGAGCTGCGGTTAGCTCAAAGTAGAGCTGCTGTTAGCTCAAAGTAGAGCTGCTGTTAGCTCAAAGTAGAGCTGCTGTTAGCTCAACGTAGAGCTGCAATGCTAAATGGATGTAATATAGCGCAAGGCAGAGCCGCAGCAAATAGCTAGATAACACCAGTTGTGAGAGTGGACCCGGTTAGTGGGTACGATAATATTATGATGGTGTGAATAAGTTGGATAGGGAGGGATGGTGGGAAAAGAAACACTGCTGAAGCACGATCCGTTGTCTGGAAGAGCACAACAGGGCAAGCAAGATTTGTTTTTCTTTTCCGCAAAAATGGGCTGGTGCCATTTGTGATTACGCAGCAAAACAAAGCGCATGACGTCAGTCTTGAATGCAGTACAAAGCAATGCAGTGCAGTGTGTGCGCTAGTTCGGATTGTTGCTAACAAGTACTAGCACAGCTAGTACACCAATAGTAATAATAGCTAATGCAGCAATGTGCTAGCAAAGAAGTCACTGACAGCTGAGCATGCGTATGCAGAGTCACGTCTAGCCAGGGAAGAATAGTGGGGGGGGGGGGGGGGGAGGGGGGCAGGGGAAACAGTTGCCTCGTAACCCATTGTTCCGTTTTCCAAAAGTGTCTTGCCATGCCAAATGCAAAGTTCTGGGATGAACCCCCGACTTCACTCCACACAAATGTGCCATTGTGAACCCTCTAGTAGTGACTAGAGACCGCATTTTCGTTGAATGGCATGAAAAGACACAAACATAAGTCATTGACGAATAAGTGGGGGGGGGGGGGGAAGGTGCTGCGCCCCCTACCCCCCCCCCCCCCTTTGGCTAGAACTAACCGTAGCCAGCTCATTCGGTGATACAGTCTTCATGGGGTTTTCCTCAGTGAAGCTTTTTGACCCATTCACACCAGTGGATTATACAAGCAAGGCTCTTTGCTTGCCCATGATTCGCGTGCATCCACTGATCATAGTGCATAGGTCGACAAACCTTTGGGACAGGTGTTCACAGGTAATTTAAATTTCTGAGTCTCTGCTCAAATACATTGTGGGTACGGTAACAGCGTTCCGAGTGCACGTCGAGCTAGTGCAAGTACATACAAACAACAACGGCAGAGCTACAGTCTGTGTGGGTAGCATGCATGTGTTGTGCTAGGTTGGTTGCCATGATTACCACCGTATTCTTTTGTAGTTCATTCTTGTGCTGACAATAATACACCTGGGAAAGTGTATTGCCCCTTATGGACTTCGATTTCCAAACAACGGTCTCCAACTGCCATCGGGTCCTTAGTGATGCCAACGCAACACAGACTGCCCCTTATGGCTTTCAAATTTCAAACATGCAACAGTCTCCAACTGCCGCCAGGTCCTTAGGTGATGCCAACGTAACGCAGATGTTGCTAACATGCCAAAAGTACGACCTATTTGAAGTGCAGGCGTTGATATGTTGCTTTTATCAGGATGGCCATCTGTTACAAGTAGGTTATCACAACGAAGTGTAGGCTTGTGCTGGAGGATACCAACTGGCAAGATTGACAGCTCAGTGCCCACAGAATTAAAGGGCTTCACTCCGAAGATGTCAAAGCCGGACAGGGTTGGTGTCATGGGCAGCCTGCCACTAACTGTCTGGATCACAGCACAGTACATGTATTGCCATGGTCATGTCTGTGCTTCAGTGGTCTGATGACTGATGCGTCACGGCTAAGTCTTACGCATCATGTCGTGCGTTGGGGCAAGATGATAGTTTGAATGGAGCACCGGCATACATGTAGTTCAGACCATGATGCATCTTGAGGGGCGACCAAAGTGCCCGTGATCTCATTGGATATGCCAAGACGTTCTTGGTAGCTGGATGCCGTAATCGGACAAGCTGGATCAACTTGATTTGGGGCCAGGCCAGGTTTGCAGAAGTATGGCGCAAAGTTTGAGTCGTGCTTGTCAACTGTTCAAATATCAAGATGAGTGACGTGTGCAGGTGAAATATCCGTAGATGTGAAATCTGGACACTCACCTTGAACTTTTTCCATTCAGCTGATGGCTTCCGATATAGCATTCAGTGGGGCTTGGTGGCTGCTACGTGCCAGTTGGTGGAGCGGTGGTTAAGTCTAGAAGTCTGAGTATCAGTGTCTGCTGTTCGTCTGAGTGGGGCAACTGGCTCGCCGCTGCAGGAAACATACAAGTACACGTACAGTGTTTCTCTGGAAGTTGGTAACCGCTGACAACTTCAAGTTGAACACCAAAACATTAAATATCCTCCAGGGACTCTTAGGGAATCGAGGCATAGTGGACTGGTCCAGGCGCTGCGTCAGAGAACATGATTCAGCCTGCCACGTGACTGCTCTGAATAACAGTGACATGGTGTAACATGTCACGGTGCGGAGATGCTTCCACGTGTAGAGAAGACCTGGCTTGCCGGCACGATGCATCCACTGCAGATGGCATTGTGCATTTGCGGTTGACAGGGCTTTCCCCGTCATCACAGCAACTAATTACTTGAGCAAGCTAGTCAGGCATTGCATGTTTGGGTGGTTTCTATCGGCCTATTTTTACTGGTGATGTAATGGGGCCTTGATTCTCCAGTACTGGCATGTTACCAACCGGGTATCTGATATGAATTCAATATACCGGTAATGTACTTCGAAGTGAATGTAGCAGTTACCATGGTTGCGGGTCAGATAGTGTGTGATGAAATCGAGGGCTTGCTGGGAACCTGCCCGTGGCGGAAATGGTATTAGGGGTTCAAGTAATGTTCCCAGTTCACGACATTGGTCCTATTGTTTTGTACGTAGGTGAGCAGTCATGGGGTGTATCTGCCTGCTGTGAATATGGCTGTGATTATGGTACATGCAGCTGCATGCTGGGAGTTTGCCTTGCCAAAACACACATGCGATATTAGTACTGAGATTGGCTGTTGCATAATGCTGTACTTACAAAAACAACTAGAGCGAATTTTCGTCTTGGCACTTCGCTTTGATACTCACAATGGCTACTTACACCCGGAATAATCCAGCGGCAGATGCAGTGCCTAATGGTGGGGGCGATAAGGGATAAGTCTCAAAAGTCAAAACCACTGCGACCGAGCTGATGCTGAGTATTTGGTCCAGCTGTCCCAGTGCTGATCAAACCGGGAAGGTGCGTTGCACTGCGTCATCATTGCCATTGGACTGACCTATTCTGTCATGTTCGCTTGCAGCCTACGGCATACAACACACCAGAGCCTGGGCCACATGGTGTCACTGTGTACTGTGATAGTTCACCTAATACTGTAATAGCTCAGACTCAGGCACTGGTTGGTGTTATCTCTTCACTGCCACCCGTCTGCATGGTCAGGCATACTGACACACACACACACGCTAAGATTCCGGATGGCAGTCACTCAGCCTGGACTGCATTTCAGCATTCCACAATGTCAAGACATCTTTATCGTGATCGGCAGACTCTGTCAGTATGCTGGGCTACACATCCTAGTATGTAATGATCCCCGATGCTTCTCAGCTGTAATCCCGGTCAGACGTAATCAGCATAGCCATATTTGGCTCCCGGTGTCCACGCATGGCAAATATTAATTGGCTGCTATGCGGGGCGGGCCAGGCACCACAGATATAGCAACAAAGTAATCTACATTTTCTGACAACATTATGAAGTCATGCCACATGGGTGAACATGGTGAATGCCACACGGGAGCCGGAATTGTGAGATGCTGGTAACTGCTATGTCCGTGCACGGATTTGATACAGGCGTGTATGGCCCGGGGGTAGTCATACTCTTGCAGCCAGCGTCGCAATGGACGTACAATGTACAAGATATTGTCTTCGCAAACTACCTGCCAGTGTGTGCACAGTCGAGGTATTCAGTGCAGGTTTCGTATCTTGTCATGTGGTGGGGGATTTTTAGAGGTACGATGGACCTTCAGCATAGGCCTATGCCAAGAATACATAACCCCCCAAGAGTGTGCAACTCGACTATGGGTGCTGTACCGACAGAATTTCAAGTTGACGTCATTTTTATGATGCAATGCGCACTGCACACGGATTATCAAACGAATCCGGAACCTGTGGTGCACCAAAGTCCATCTGATCCTGTACAAAGAAAAAAACGTGTGATGCGTTGACACCCGTACTCATGTTGTAAATCACTGGTGCAAGGAGCATTGCATCATTAATAATGACGTCACCTTGAAATTGTGTCGGGACAGCAGGGTATGTGGGAGTTGCACACTCTTGGGGGGGGGTTATGTACTCTTGCCTATACCGTAAAATCCCGCCAGAGCGCCCCTACCTCCTCGACGCTTCGGGTGGGGAGGGGCGGATGGGCGAGTCCTACTTGCCGCATCCAGTGCTACATAAAAAAGTACTCACCCTACGAAAAACTGTTTGTGCATCTCGTACACCGACCAAAGGTCAAGAGCCAGGAGTCGAACAGACCCGACAAAACGCAGGGTTTGTGCGATCCCTGGTCAGGAGGGTGGGCATTGTTGCGTACATTTCTAGCGGGGTCGAGCACGCGTCTGCAGTGCAGTACAGCATCACAGACTGCGATAGAGTCACACGAGGATACAATCAATCACGTCCCTGACAAGAAGTCAGGGAGGGGCGGATGGGAGAGACGGGGCGCTCTGGCGGGATTTTACGGTACATGTACATGGGATATCTTTCTGGATTGTGGTCTGGGTTTGTAGTTTCTTAGTTATGTGTTGGTCTGTTGGTCTAGGGGTATGATTCTCGCTTAGGGTGCGAGAGGTCCCGGGTTCAAATCCCGGACAGACCCAACTTTTTTTTGATTTAAGGAATTGCGTATGAAAATGACGTAAGAACTGCATCTAATTTTCTTACGTAGAAATCAGCGCTTTTGGGTTTTGCTCTCGTACTTGATTTCTCCACGACTGCTAAACATGCCTTGTTGCTTTGGAGACGCGTTGGCTGTATGCGACCACCGGTGCACCGCACGCAGCATGAACCGAAACCACGTTTTTCATTTTGTTTTCTGTGTACCTTGTGTTTCGCGCGGCTTGAACGCTGCCATGGATAAATCAGGAAATGCGAAAAGTATTTCAACATAGGAAAGAGCTTTCCTACGGAAATCCGTAGAGAGAATTACGTATGAAAGTTGCCCTCTCCCGGCGCGTACGGCATGCGGATTTTCACACGTAATTGCTAGAGCTAAACCTCCCTACAGTGCTGTCGGGTAGCGCCGAAGAACGGCCAGGCTAGAATTTTACCAAGCACAGCATACGAGTACCAATGTATCAGTACACCGTGACTCAACTATGCATCGACATGAAAATAGGAACGGTCTAGGCTAGAAGTAGGAGGCTGACACCCCCAGTTCTTCGGCGACCGACAGTACTGTATTGTAACTAATACTTGGGACTGTATTGTAACCATGGTAACTAATACTTGGGGACTGTAGCATTCTGACTACTACTGAGTACTAGTAACTTCTTCGTAGTACAGTACTGGCCAAAGAAATCCAACCTCATGAATAAAACAGCATTGCCGGGCGCTACGCAGCCCTAGCACTACAAACACTGTTCTGTACACTCGAACGCGGCGCTACTTTATTCATGAGGTTGGATTTCTTTGGCCAGCACTGCACATGTATTTCACAGGGGGAGGGTGGACTCTTGGACTTGGAGCTGACCCGTGACCAATCTAGACTTCTTGGCCCGGATAAGCAGTGATCACACTCAGGCAGGTGTTCACAAGGGAGATGACATGGGCGGCTGCAACACTGAACAATACAGACTTCCCTCCCAGGCTGCCCGTTACAGTGGGCCTCGGGGCAGGGCAGATTTAAACACACTTGCAGCAGACATCACTCGTCTGGGCCATGCTTGGGGTCAGCAAGTCAAGGCTTGTCCCCATGGAAAATCGCAAAAAAAACGTGGTATGCACCTTACATCAGGGTTCTAACCAGGCCAAAATAGTGGGGGGAGCGGGCAGGGGAAACAGTCAACCCATAACCATTTCCCCATTTTCCAAAACCTTTTTGCCATGCAAAATGCAACGCAGTGGGGAGAACCCCGACTTCACCCCAGACGAATGCCTTTATGAACCCTCTAATAGTACCCATCGACTGCATTTTCGCCGACCGGCATGAAGAAACACAAAAATCGACAAACGAGTATAGGGGCGCTTAAAATCTGGGATCGAAACGCACATCGTTTTGGGTACAACGATCCTGTGTCGTTTCTCTAGATGCCACGACCCTGCTGTTCACCCCAGATCAGCATGGAAGTAGCTAGCGATCACTCCTGGATTCAACACAGTCCATCATCGAGACGAGCCACGTCCAAAGTAGGCAAACATGCAACAGCTTGTGCACACACACACACACCACGGCAAGCAAATGTGGGCACCGCACCGATTTCATCATGCACGCACGCACGCACGCACGCACACACACACACACACACACTGGTGCTCTCAGTACCCAACTCTGCACCACAAACCAGCCAGTGTCAAGATCTTGGAAGTACTTGAAACTCAAGATGGAAATATGCACAGAAGAAAAACACCATTAAAAAACAAACAATTTGAATCTAGATTATGCACTAGTAAGTGCATATGTCGTTGGGTGCTTTACATCATGGCAGTACAAGACCTTGCTAACAAGCATCGCTGCAAAAACAACAGCTTGTACCAGTAAGCTGAAAGGCCTTTCAACATGATATTCCAAAATGTCTTCAATTCAAAGCAGTACAACACAAGTACTCATGCTGCACCTGCAGCTTGCAGAACACACCAACCTGCACCAAGGGCACTGCACTTACTAACCCACATGGGTCTATGACTCAAAGAGCACGGAACAGCACATCAAACCAAAGCTAGCAAGCTTGGCTGACTTTCAAAGCGATCACACCGCCAGCAGGGTTGACGTAAGTGGAGAATGAGGTGGTCGCGTGACTATTGACGTGTGTAACCAGGTCCCTGATACAATAGGTACGGCCCGCGGACAGTCCAACCTACGGCAAAAAAAGAGAGAGAGCACACACTGAATCAGGCAAGGCAGCATACCGCAAGGTGCATACCAAAGAAAGTGTAGTCCAAGAAATGCCCAGCCTGGTGAACACAGTCTTGAATACAGTAAATCGAAAGTTTCGATAATGTACACAAGAAGTTAGTGTACAGTTCACATGTACGCCCAGCATACGTCCGTGGAAAATACTCCAGGGAAGATCCCTGCCTGGTCTGGGAAGGAGATACGAAAATAAAGCTTGCTGGATGCGCCTCTGCCCGTAATACGTTCCATCACTATCCTGTAGAATATTCCCCGCCCTACAGCAATACCTCTGCACGCGGAAAGTAAGACACCTGATTCACAGATGAACAGATCTTTCTCGATACTAGCATCTGGGTAATTACGTTAACTTACTGTAATCCCAAGATGGGGTTTTCAACAACAGGTCAGGATTAATTCTCGAAAATGCTTCTCATTCAGTGAAGTGTTTGACTGGCCAACTACTTGGCAATGGTAGTCCTGTTCACATGCCCTCCCATACCGTAAAATTCCGTAAATAAGCCCACCCTAAATAACGCCCATGTCCGATAATAAGCCCAGTTTTAGGCGGTGTACACTTCAAGTCCGTTTTAGCGCCCATGCCCGAAATAAGCCCAGGGTGTAAAGTGGACTCAAAATGACCAGCGTGCGAGCGTGCGTTCGCGTACAAACTGTAGAACAGCTGTAGGCGTTTTCAGCCATGCCAGTACCTGTTGAGCCTTGTACTTACCATAGCAAGTGGTTTACCTATCAAATCTGTAATTTATCGCTACATTCTTGGTTACGACCAAATTTCCAGCTATGGTTTGATGTACCTGTACCGCGCTCAGTGTGAATGGTGGTTCACTGAAACTAGTGGGTTGCTGATAGATTGATCTTCTGCAGATTGCGTCCGAAATAACGCCCATGCCCTAAAATAAGCCCATGCCCAAATATACGCCCGGTTTTGACGCTCTGCAAAGTATACGCCCGGGGCTCATTAACGGAATTTTATGGTATATGCCTTGCGCAAGGTAAAGACTAAAGAGTGCATACATGCCATGCATACTTGTGTGGGTATCACCACAGTGTAGAACATACCTCTGCGAAGGTCACAGTCATTAGGACGGGCGTGCCATAGGTACTGCGGTTCCATAGGATAACACCAACGGATCCATCGGCAAGTTCCTTGCGCCAGATCTCACGTCCTCCGCTCGCCGACACGCGCTGTGCCATGCGTCCAAGTGGGTCCTGGTTGATTGCGATCAAGTCGGCGTTCAGAAGAATCTCTTTCGTCCAATCTTGAATCTTCGCCAGATCGTTTGACATGAACAGAGGCGCAGAGAAGTAGCACCAGAACACAAATTGGGCAATGCTCTGGTCTTTACTCAAGCTATAGTCTCCAAGTATCAGCATGTCGGGATCATTCCACTGGCCTGGCCCGTTCACGACGCCAAAGTCGCGGTAGTTTTTCGGCTCGCCGTAGAAGTCAATGATCGACGTAACGCTGTCCCACGAGTCCTGGATATCGATATAGTTGCGCCACAGATTACAGTGCTTGGCCACATTCTCGTAGCTGACGTTCATCCCTGCAATTCTCTGATAGTCCGGCCAGCTGCAGGAGTAAACAATCTCACGGCCTGTCTGGTTCAAGGCTCTCGTAACCTCCGCATATCCTTCATTCATCAGCTTGACGTCAGCGTAGCAGCCATCCAGCTTCAACATATCGATTCCCCAGCTGGCAAATGTCTCGCTATCCTTTCTAATGTAACCCATCATGCCTGGATAGCCACCACAGGTCTTTGTTCCGTAATCTCCGTAAATGCCCAGTTTCATATTCATTTTGTGAAGCTTGTCGGCGAGATATTTGATCCCATGGGGGAAACGGACTGGATCTGCAACCAGTCGGCCATGTTCGTCACGATTGTGGAGAGGCCAGCAGTCATCAATGTTCACCCGATCATATCCTGCTGCCGCATAGCCGTTGTCATTGAGCAGATTCGCCATTCGGAGGAAGAGGTCTTCGTTGATGCAGTTATCCGGCTCCTTTTCGCAATCAATGTTGCATCTGTAACGTTCCCAAGCCAGCCATCCCATCGGAGGCGTCCGCACTAGGCCATTGTTCAGGGCATTGCTTACTGCAATGCTGAGACCCAGCAGGCACAGCACGGCGTAAACCTTCACCATTGCTGCTCACCAGTGGAGAAACCGAAAGAAGTTCTGTCTCAAAGTTTCAAACATTACAATGTCATGTCTGCATGCGCATATGCGCATACGTACATGCGTGCTGCTGTTTGTTGCACTTTTTTATGCGCTTTTTTTGCGCGTAGCTATGCGCGCGACGAGTCCATCGACTAGGGAATTTCCCTTTTCACTTTTGAATGAAGTCATCGCACGGTACTGTGAGCTCACCGATCATTTTCGAAAGCTTCCTGCTCGAGTGAACTCAAAATCAATTTTTCCTCCAGCTGCTTCAAGCTAGTTTGGATTTGGCATTTGGAACTCCACATCTGCTTCGTTGCTTTCTGTTCACTAAGTTTGGGTGACCACAAGGTACTTACCTGCATAAGTTTTCCGTCTAAAACACATAGGATCTCCCGCTTCTGCTCTTTATTGGACAACAAAAGTAGAGCTTTGGTGAGAAGGCTGCGCACTCACAGATTGAATGCACCACTCAATTTTGGAGCAGCGTCAGGGTCAGCCGAGTTATGGAACTGGCAATTTGGACAACCACGCAGTAGAGGCTTTGGGTGCGGGTGCTGCTACGCGCGACGAGACGATGGGTCGGCGGGGCCATGGCTTGGAATCAGTTCCGCTGCGGCCCAGTCGTAGAGTGGCGTACGAAGAGTTGGCACTACAGTCCGACACAGACTACGAGACTGAGGACAGCAACCTGTACGAGCGGAAAGGCAGGAAAGCGCAGAGCTGGGTGCTCACATGCTACCGATGTTGGAATTATGTGTCCTCTATCCCGGACACATGTTTCAGGTGAGTGCTAGTACAGTGTACGTGCTCTTTCTTGTGCTATGACCTTGGTTGGTTGGTTGGTTGGTTGACATTGAGGGGAACTTCCACACTGGGGATTAATTTGCCCATTGTCTGGCACAGGGTTGCAGCTCGTTCTTGTACAATGCTAATGGAGACTCCCTGTCCGAGCCCGTATCTTTGCCAAGGCAGGGCGAGAGCATTTGCTTTTCATCTCGCTCCCCCCCCCCCCCCCCCCCCCCCCCCCGGTATGCACATGTCTTTGTTCCCGAAGCTACGCAGCTGAATACGCTATGATCAGTGGCGCCTGGTGCAATCCAGGGTCCACGGCACTTCTTTTCGTGTATGTTTGTGTGGTCGGGCGGGCACGAACCACGTGACTGGATAGAGAGTTGTCGTATCTGTATGAGTAGAGCAGTGACCATACACTGTCCCGTACCGTACAGTCAAAGGTAGCCTGAAGAGCCGGCCCCGCTCCGACCTTCACCCACATACTCAAATACTGTACGACAGATAGGGCTTTCGACGACATGATCATAGCGCAACGCGACTTGGTAGAATGCAGATGTATGTGATGTGTATCGAGCGACTACATGCAATGCAGCAGTTCGGGTTTGAAGCCTGAGAACTGCACCCACAATGCCACACACGCATGCACACATGCACACACATACACACATACACACACATACACACATACATACAATGCGAGAGAGCTGCCAGCTATGCTTGGTTTTTACCTAGGTCATCAAGCGTTTTATTGAAACTGATAGAAACGTCTTTGCAGTACGAGTACCGTGTGCATGTTCTTATTGCAAAGACATTGATATCAGTTTGAGCAACATGCACGGTGACCTGTGAAAATACTAAGCATAGCGACTCGCGACTTTTTATTAGTGAGAGTCCTGAGCTGGCAACTCTAACTTACCACACTCATGTGTTCAGCCAATTTAGTTATTTTGCTCTGTGAGTGACGACGTGATAAGACGTTCAAAAAAAGCTTCAGCTTTTGCACACTTTGTTCAGATGTACAGCATACCGTGGAATACTGTAGAACCCATCGAGTGTCGGTTGTACTGGGCCCTGTTGTATTCACTGCCATTTCCACGCATACCAGTGCACTTCGTGCCTTGACCTTTTTTTGAATGGCCGCGAGACATTCAGTAGTGCTGTCCAGGATTACCGTACTTCCCCACATATAAGCCCATGGGCTTATAAGTGAAAATTTGCTACAAAAAATAGTTTTTGCTGTACGAACATGTTCGGGTAGAAGCCCATGCGCTTATATGTGCAATAACGGTTTGTCTGTGTCCTAAACAACGGTGTTATCACAATGCTTAGCAGTATATTCAGCTCCCGGGTGTTTCACCAATAGTGTTCACATATAAGCCTATGCGCTTATAATTGGGGGGTGCGCTTATGTCCGGACATAAGCACATGCGCTTATATGTGCGGAAGTACGGTATGATTTTTATGAAGGTGCATGTAGTGAAAAGCGTTGGTCTTCTGCCTAGAATTTGCGAAATTTGGCGAAGCGTATGTATAGCGCACATCGGACAACCAACAGGCCTGGTACCCATCTGTGAACTTTTGTACATATGTGCAATGTGCAAATGCTCATTGGCTGAATGCCCCTATCTGAATACAGAGAACATCGAGAGGTAAGACCAGTGGGGTGATGTGTCTGCCTACTGGAGCTAATTTATACATACAAATTGGCAGGTTATCGGGCATGCATGTGGAAACAAGCTTGCTTATACCCTGCACCTTCAAATGGTGGGAGTAATATGCATACTACCTGGCTTGCTGCCATTTTTGTCCTTTTTTGCTTTGTTGCTGTTATGTCACAGCGGCTGTGCATCATGTGCGGAAAGCCTGTGCGAGTGTTTTATGCGGAAGCCTAGCAAGGAAGACCGCACTATTCAGCTTGGAACGCCGGTGAGTGTGTGTCGGGGGGGGGGGGGGGGGAGGGGACAGCAACAGAGCGGCAGAGGTGTTGCATGGTGCTGTACCTGGCACACTGATCATTGCCTTTTGCAATGCAGTCTATGGTCTCGCCTTTTGTGTGTGTGTGCAGGCGCGTGCGCCAGTGCCCTTCAGGGGGGGGGCCTCCCCGTGAAAATTTTCAAAAAATGAAGTAAAAATCCTGCATTTTGAGCGAAAAAAAGGGGGGTTCCGGGCACCCAGGAACCCTTCGGGGCACGCACCTGGTGTGTGTGTGTGTGTGTGTGTGTGTGTGTGCGCATGTGTGTGTGTGTGCGCGTGCGTGCGTGCGCGTGTGTGTGTGTGCGTGTGTGTGTGTGTGTGTGTGTGTGTGTGTGCCAGCTAGTTCGGTTGGTGGGTACACTTATGCCAGATAGTGTTGGGCCTGTTGCCAACGGGCTCGGCTGCTTGAAGGTGTATTGTTGTACCTACCACCTTTGTTGGTTTCAGGGTTCATATACTTTCTATTTGAAGTATACATACCTGTTAACCATGGACTGCTTCTGGCTAGATTAACTCTTGTGTAATCAATGGTGCTAGTGAAGCTTATATCAGATCCACTCTGATTTAGCCACCCACACTAGTACCAAGTATTACTTTCACTGGGGGCAGGGGTACCTGCAGTTAGATCCCGGGACGGATACCCTGATGCCGTCAATCCTTTTTCTGCACCTTGTCTTCACCCACTTACTGAGGTGTGGTGAGCCCGTAAGTGGGATCATTTCAAGTCCACCCTAGTTTGGGGATTTCAGGGGGTGTCGGCCGCTGGGTGGTTCAATGGCCAATTGAGTCATCTTTCCAAGATTCCTTTTGAGTCTCTCTCCCC